CACTTCAGCGGCGACAGCTCTTTTTGAAGTTCTTGTGCACCACAACATCTGTCGTGCTTTTAACTGCGCTACTTAATCAATCCCTATTGTATTCATTCTTTTCCTGATATTAATCTTTGTCTAACTATAAACAGTTTTGTTCAAGTTCTTTATATGGTTGCCTTACCTTAGAATAAATAGCTTAGCTGCTAAAGAAGTGCTGTGACAGATGGGTGGATGAATGCTAATAGCTGCAGTACGCTTTATAATGGGCAGTACGGTCAAACCCATTCATAACAAACAGCAGGAAACGCTTCGATCAGTTCGATATAGCAAAAACCATTTAGAACGAACTTCCACGATGCGTTCGTTGTAAGGCGAGAGCTTCTCTTCATGGGCAGCCATTTTGGTATTAAGTTTTTTTTTCCTGCGCATGCGTGCAGAATATTTTTTATCTTTCTCCCCTTCTGAATCGCTTCTCTTTGCTTAATTTTGTTCACAACTTAAGCTTTTGGAATTCTCTTTCCTACTTTTTTTTTGGGGGGGGGGGGGGGGTAAGACAGGTTAGAAGACAATTCTTTGCGCGTTTTTGGAAGCCTTCCCAGGGGCAAAAAGTTTGATATAGCCAATATGTCGTGTGTTATGAAAATTACTTCTTACATGAATTTTTATTTAAATTTTCCGTGAGTTCGATATCGACAATAATTCGCTGTACGTGGATCCATTCTAAACGGGTTTCACTGTAGTTTAAATCACTTAGCCTGGAAACTAAAAACCCAAAGTATGATTTTTCTCCTCGCCCTTCTAAGCCAGTTTGCTTCCACTCTGTAATTTTGTAAATATAACCTCTGCAGCTGGTGTGGAATATCCCCAGGATAATCTTTGGGGAATTGGACAAAAAAACTAAAAACGCCACCCCCCGCCTCCTGCCCCCAATGAGGGAGGTCGTCGATTTTCCTCTGGTCAAGTCGGCATTACCCCAACACTGGCCCCACTGGGAGACAGGGTTGAGACTTTGGGCTGGAGCCACGTGGGAGGGAGTCCCAATTTTCCTCTGCCTGCCTGTCCCCAGCTGTGCTAGATGTACGTCATTCAATTCTACCTAGATAATTTTACCAGTCTTCCAATCTCTTCGTCGATATTAAAGTGCAGTTATTCATTATTCCATTCTCGTCTGCAAACCCCAGTTCTCCAGCTAAATTCGTCGACCCCTCCGGGACAGCGGGAGCAAGCCCTGTGCAACACCACATGTATTATTGTCTGGTCTTCCCCTTGGCATAAGGCACACCCAAGGAGGATAGAAGGGTAGGAGAGGGCATGACGTCGGCCACGTAGCCTCCACAAGCCATGCTCCCTTGACATCTTGCCTCTTTCTCATTTTCCTCCTTACTCTCCTCGCTTACCATGCCAACGTGACCACATCACGTGACCATAGCTAGCCTTCGTCTTGCTATGGGGTACTAGAATACACCACAGTCTAGCCTTCGATCTGATAAAACCTACCGGATGGAGCGCGCACAAGCCTGCAAGGAGTCCTTCTACAATCAACCATCCATCTCACACGTGACATGTCACGCGCACCAATCGCCAGACAGATCTGCGGTCACGCTGGGCACAAAATCGTTTAAACTTTTTAGGACTGGGTTTCACCAATATTGCAACGTGCCCCCTCCTAGTTGGGCACCCATATTCATGTCCACATACTTTTCCCTTTGACACAGCATCGGTGTTACCAGATTAGTGGGCTACTTTTTTTGTTTAAGATGGCATCGAAATTTGGTGGCTTACTTTTGTAGCTTTTGGGATATTTTTAATTTTTGCTTGAGACATATGCTGCGATTTTACTGGCGATTTTGCAGTTACAAAAACTGCACGGCGAAAAGTTTGAGATTTCGGCATTTCAGTGCCTAACCGGCTGACCGTCGTATCGGGGAAATCACAAGCAAATTTTTACTCGCAATTTTACGGTTGTGATGCTGCTTCTGCAGCAAAACAAGTGCAGTGGAAACTAACGTTGGTGGAAACCACGGCAGGCTACGGTGCCGGCGTCGCAGCTGCTGCCGTGACCACGGTGTAGCAAAATTGTACATTACCAACAAGACTCTAACTACAACCATAAACAAACATCACTGAATTTTACAAAGCCCAGCATGCGTCTCGCGAGCGCGACGCATGCTGGGCTTCATACGAGTGTCAAGGGGGGCCGGCCCAAAAGCAGTGCGGAGTTTATACACTGCACTAGTGCTCCCGCAGCTTGAGTTCTGCTCGTCAGTGTGGAGCCCCAGACAGGTCGAGTGTACAACGGCACGCGGCCGACGCTATCCTGCGTCGCCAATCACCACCACAGCTGAGGCGATACGTATTACTAAAAAACTCTCTATTGAACTTCTCGGAATTGTGGGGTGAAACTACCTGTCTGTCCGTAGGCAGGTGGCTTCGCTTCGCCCCCTAGCCTGCACGCTGGGTGGCCCTCCTACACCCCTTCCATACTCCGCGACAATTTTTCTTGGCAATGCAGTGGAAGGTGCAAGCCCGCATCCCCTCTCCCATTTTGAGTGTGCGCGGGCTCTCCTCCTCTCCCCAGAAATGGGGGAGGAGGAGAGCCTGCATACACTCAAAATGGGAGAGGGGACGCGGGCCTGTACCTTCCACTGCATTGCCAAGAAAAGTTGTCGCGGACTATAGAGTATGTGAGGAAGAACCGCGCCGACAAGCTACAAGCGCACTCCTTCCGAGAACCATCGAGCTCTGGCGCTCCCTCCCGAGTGACGTCACACAAGGGACATTCGAAAGCAGAGAGGACTTAAAGGGATGCTTCAACAAAATTTGAAATATTCCCGTCGTGTTTAAAAATAGGTTGAATATGATTCACAATATCCGTAAATGACAATCGCACGTTTGTATTTTTAGCTTGGTGGCTGTATTTTTCGTTATAAACGGCCCACTCTGGCAAGTGCTCATAGAAGGCCTAGAGGAGACCACGTGACATCCGATGCAATCGTGACGTAGGTCGTCTCAGGACGAGCAAAGCTACGGCGAGGCTGATGTTGAGAGGATGGCCTAGTCGTTCCAGCCACCGAAGCTGCTGCTTTTGTACGAATTTTGATGTGACGGGTTAATCTTCTGTAATCTTGTAGGGGGACAATAGCGACTTCTGCGACACACAAAAGGCGTTCTCGGGAAGAGGGGAGTTCCTCCTGCCCCTCTTCTCTTGTCGTGGCCGGAGACGAGACAACCTCCGTCACTAGCCGTCAAGGTTCCTAGACGGGCATTACAAGCGAGGCGTTAGCGACATCCATCAGGTGCTCTTTGCTAGTCGTTTAATTCGTTTTAAAATTCCTCTTCGTGACTTTTTAACAAGATATTGGTATGTTCAATGTGATGCTGCGTTTTTGAACACATATAGACCAAAAAATGAATGCCGAAATTTTGTTGTAGTATCCCTTTAAAAGAACTGTGCAAATGTGCAACCCTCCACCTCAAAGAACTGTGATGTGACACCAGTTACACTCAATCAGACCCAAATCCCAGTGTGCAAACATTTCTTTCTTTCTTTTTTGTATGTATGTGTCTATGGCTGTGTTCCAAAATTTACTCGATCCGACTCCGGAGTAAAAGTTTCGTACCGTGGCGTTCCAAAACTTACTCGAGCTTACTCGATGACGTCAGAACTCGCGTTCCAGAAGCGGGTTGTTTACTCCGGAGTAATTACTCGCGCTACCCTCCTCAATCGGGGGGTAAAGTCGGATCAAATCGAGTAAGTACGTCACGTGATCTGTTCATCGTCTGCTTTCTGCGCCGACAGCTGTCAAAGCTCGCTTGCTCCGTTGGTTTTGGTGGCGGACGTTCGAAATGACAAAGAATTAGGTGCAGCATGTGTGTTTATTGCGATTTGCTGTTGTCAACGCAGGAATTGACTGCATTACATCCAGACCGCCCACCTTCCCCGGGAACGTGTACTTGTTATTTTCTGAGTGCGAGCGTAAACAGGAGCTTCTCCGCATCCTCGTCCTCGGCGTTGGGGGAATGCCGTAATCTCACGTTCAAGGCCGAAAATGTTTGAACTCGGCATATGATAATGTAATATTTTTGTTTCCTCCAGAGTGTGTGTAATGAGAGGATAACGTTTGTAAAGCAGTGAAGACTTCGAAAATTTCACTGCAATCACATTCGCGTCAAAGCGAACGTGAGTTTCATATCATTCTGGAGAAAGCACCCTCGCGCTGTACCGCTACACCGTGTGGAATATATTTCTGCAAAACATAATTGGTGCAAATTACAATGCGTGGAATATATGCGTTTAGGGCACCGTGACTAGAATTGCAGCGATCGCGCTGATTAATAAAAACACATCTTTTTGTCTAGCTGTAAGGAGTAAGTCATTTTGATCTCAATACACAGCTCAAAACGAAGGTGAGTAAAGGAGCTGGTGGATTCACCTCAAAATACACCGCGTCGTCATTAACATTACCGTTCTTCGGGTGCTTTCTCCATGATCAAAAGGATCGTCTGCTATTTTCTGCCATCGCCGCTGTGTTTTCTTTTTGCCGTCGCCCAAGACGAAGCCAATCCGCGTAGTATCCAGGTGATTATCCTGGCCGTTCTAAAATCGAGTCGCGGATCGTTTACTCGCGATGTCACGTGGTATTACCCGCTGACGTAGGAGGCAGGTTACTCGGGTAAGATCTGGAACATAGCCAATGTGTGTGTAGCGGGTACAGTGAGCCGCTATGGCATGGGCAATAGCCTTCTCACTGTCACCCGGGTTTTAGAAACCGAATAAAACATTATTATTATTATTAATTTAGGCACTAATAAATTTTTATTTCCGGCCTTATGTAAGTTTTTTGCGACTCGTCACTCGCTCTTATCTCGAACAGAGTTCTATCAGTTCTATCATCATTGCGAAAAACGAAAGCATAGCGGCGTTTTTTTTTATTTATTTATTTTTTTTAATCTGGTTGATCCTTTAGCTCCCCATCCGCTCCGCGCCTCCGCCTCCGCGCCGAGAGATAGCCAAGATGGATGACGACAGGTGAAGCGGCGGAGCGGGCTTCCTCCGATGCCTTTCCCTCAACTCCCGCCGCCGTTCTCCCTGTCGGCCGCACCACGACGACCCGTTCGACGACAGAGAGTGAACCGAGCGGTTCCATGAGCACGCAGCCGGGATGCCGAAGCGCAAGCTCGAGGACGACCAGAGCGAGCCCGACGAGCTGGCCGTGCCGCTGCCCATCCAAACCTTCCTGTGGCGACAGACCAGGTTAGGGAGCGCCGCTTTCGTGTGCGCCGAATGTCCTAGCAATTCTCTCTTGTGCATCTTGAGACAGCGGGAGTGGTGTTGTTGCTGTAGATGAACACTTGAGCCAGTCAAGTCTTTAACCCTTTGTGAGGAGCTATCAGTTTCTTCTCAAAGATATCCGGCATAAAATAGAAACCGAATGACATGTTTTGCACATTTTTATGCTTCGCACTTATTGAAAAGAAAAAGAAGACAGAAGTGGTACATATGTGTGGTTTATGAAGGTGGTACATTTTGCAAGTTAACGGTAACATAAATGGAAAGAGTAACGTATCGTGTAAAAACGTAAGCTTGCCTGTCATTGCGGCGCAGCAAAATAAATCATCCTGTTAAGCAGAAAATTCCGCGCTAGCCGTCAGAAAAAGCAACAAAAACAAACACTCGCGATAAATCAGCGGCGTATCCGGGGCCCTTATGTTTTTCGTTGTCACATGGTCTTGGGTAGCCAATGAGGTGTGACTGCGAGCAAAAGTTTTGGTAACTAGCTGTTCTTCTCCGGGTTGGCAGCGGAATAGGTGCTGCCTTATTTTTGTACAATGCCAACCAGTGATCTCCAAGAATTCTAGCTGTTTAAATCAATACATGGGCGTCGGCAGGGGGGTGCAGAAGGTACAGTTGCCACCTCTAAGCCAGACTCCCCCCCTTTTCCTACAAGCAAGCGGGTGACTGACAAGCGAAAACAACAACCGAGAACAATTTAAAAATAAAATCGAGAGTAACTATCGAAACATAAAAAAAAAAGGCGATGTCTTGCCCCGCATTCCGTGGAAGAAACAATTGGAAAGAAAAGGGCAACCAAGCCCTACTTTTGCCTCTGCGACACCACACCTCGCTGAGGGCGCACCCATTTCTGAGAACACCGCGATCCCCCGCAATGAACACCCAGTGGTGATGAAGTGACTCCAGCCGCGAGTAAAATGACTCCAGCCCCGAGTAAAAAGTTAGTGAAACGGCCCGAAAAACAAGTTTTCAACTTCCCTTTGGGCCCTTTCATTTTTGCACACTCGTACATCCGCATTCATTTGTCCGCGGAAATATTCCCTCAATATCGTCGTGTGCCGGGGGCCGTGCAGACATCATAGGGTGGTTGGAAAAAGTCGTGACAAGGGAAAAGGAAAATAACGATAACTATCTTCGCGGAGCAAATACCAAACGCACCCCGTTTTTCCAACTTCGCTAGCCTAGCTCACGTGACATTTCAACGGCAATTTCAACTGTGTTTTTCCAACTCCACGCGCCATGTGCTGAGGACGCAGGGGTTCAGGTTACTTTTGCAAAAGCCGCGCCGAGTGCCGCATAGCTGACACATCAAGGACAAGTTTTGGCCTCGAGGACGGGGCTCTCCAGCCTGGGTAATAAAGCCTGTGTTTTCGAGACGATTCCATGAAGAGCAAGCCATGAGCGACTGTGAACATGACCTTTAGAGCAGGTTGGGGGGAGGGGGTCGGGCATCCGCGTTTGCTCGAAACCATGTTCGCACCAAGTCGTCAACGCAACTGACCCTCGGGCCATAATTTACTGTCTCAACGTTTGAAACCAGAGAAAGGCGCGTCAGAGACAGCCCAGTCCACAATCGCAACCGTACGGTTGTTTTTCTTTCCGAAAGTTTGTAGCGAGAGTCACTATTTTGCCAGCTCTGGATTTCTCTATCGGTGTCTTCGTCTTACCAAAAGATCACATCGATCACTGCTTTCCATATTGTGGGACGAAGAAAGCAGTCACCTCTGACCCCTGCCGGGACTCGGAGTCAGATTCGATTGAGGCAATCCTTGTCCCAGTCAGTCCTAAGCAACCTTTGCCCTCCAAACTTCAGCTTGAAATGGGATTCGCCCTCAACTCATCTGTTACAGGTACGCCTAGAGAGATTTCCAGGCATAACTAAAGTTGACCAGATAAATACAAGATCCGCGCAAAGATAGCACACGGCGCTCTAACATCATGTTTTTTTTTTTTTTTATTCTCAAATGAAACAGGAGAAGCCCCATTTATTTATGTAAATTCCCTTAACTGTAATTTTCAGTTGAGGTGATAAAGGAGAGACTTATTGAAGAAAAATATATAAATAAACAACTACATTTGTTAAAAAAAAAAAAAAAAAAGAAAGCTTTTTAAAAACGTTAGTGATACCAGGCGCCTGGAAACAAATTATAATTGGGGTGTCTGCATTTGTGGACTTTGTATTTAGGGTATTGGTACTTTTCGGTGTGGTTCTCTATTATAAATCTTGAGCTTTTATGACTTCGTATTATCAAAAGTTGAATGATGTGTTTTTTCGGTGTAGCTTCAAAGCTCGCACATTCATTTTGGTGTTATCTAGCTTTCTCTCTCTTCATATTTTGAGTATTAGGAAAAGACAGACTCTTCATTGGGGAAACTAAAATGTTGTGTAGTTCGTCTATGGGATCTTTGAACTGGATTTTATTCGAAGGCTCGAAACATTGTACACAAGCTTCCTTGCTCGCATATTTCCTTGTGTTTTGAAAGTATATGAATGGGCATTCAAGAATATATATTTTACTTTTTATTGAGTTGTTGTGTTGCAGAATCTAATAAATTAACAAATGACTGGTGGTTCCTTCATCAGCGATAACAGAAGGGTCCTGATATGTTCATGCCCCGTCCACTATTCACGAGTTTTACGTCCGAGGATGTCTGGGGCCTTTTTACATAAGCGATTGTGACTGCGAACTAAACACTATTTATGTCAACATTTGTTTTAAAACCTTATACGTATAATACATTGTAAAGTTGTTGCGGCAATGTATCGGTTGCACTCCCGCTCCCCCCCAAGTTAAAAAAAAAAAAGAACGTCGGGTGCAAAAGTTTTGCCCCCACCAAAAAAAAATCCTGCCGACGCCCATGAATGAATAGGACATTTTTTTTTGTTTGCATTGTACCATAACAGTAGGCTGTATTGTTACAGATAGAGGCACATAATTGGTTTTTGATTTCTTTGGCAATGCAGTCCCTTTATACGCCCGAAAATTGGCAAGACCCACGATGCATCGGCGATGGTGAGTCAAGGTGTCTTTTGTCAACAAGTGTGCCTAGGTGTTCAATAATTTTTTTTTTTTTTTTGCTTACAGGAACAACGAGAAGCATGCAAGGTATATATATTCATTGTTAGCTTTTGCATTTTATATAACCACGCAGAATCGTTTTGTAACATTACATCTTCGTTATTTCAGTCGTTTGAGAAAGTTCTGGTGCAAAACATTCAGTTTGGCCTATCACCCAGTCTGACTGTCGCCATCAAAAGCATCAGAAGGTTTGTACCCAGCCATTTTTAGTACCACCACCGACGTATAAAGGATGAAACCACGAATTGACCGTGTATAAGTATGCTTCTGTAGGCTGGCCACAGTGTTTCTCACGCTGTAAAACAAACTGGAAAAATCGGTTCCTGAGCATGGAAAGCTCAGACCAAATGTTCATTTAAGTGGTGGATTTCACCTTGTAAAATTTCAGGGTATAGTTTTCTTCCTGTAAAAAATTGGGACCAACCGACTTGCAAAAGTCATGGGCGGACGTGTTTGCAGACGACCGAGTCAGTGTGGCATGTAACTTGTGGCATCATTTTCCAGTAGGTGCAGCGAGCAGACGACGCATTCAGTTGTCTGCTTGCTGTGCCTAACAGGGTATAGCGCCTCGGGTTACAATCATCGCTAACTCGGTCGTTTGCGGAGACGTCTGACATTGGCTTTTGTGAGTTTGTTGGTCTAATTTTTTCCAGAAAGAAAGCTATGCCTTGAAATTTCTCGAGTTAAGATACGCCACCTAAATGCACATTTGGTGAAAGTTCGAGCTTTCTATGTGCAAGCACTGATTTTTATGGTTTGGTTTACTGCGTAAGAAATGCTCTGGGACCCCTATAGATTTTCTGATCAGCACCTGTCTTGTCCGAGCATCATACTTTGAATGAACATAGAAAATAATGCGAATGAAAAGGCGTCTGAAATGCATTTGTGCATGTCGAGATTTTAGAAGCAGCTTACAAAAGTCAAACTATTGGCGAATTCGCGTGGTCGCCTCTCTCCTCTGACCTCGATTCAGCAGAGCGCCCCCTCCTCTCCGCCAGAGCTACTCGGGATCCTTTTCAGCCGATCACAACTGCTGGCTTCAGAGCGCTCCGAGATTCTCAGACCAGTCACGGAATTCATATTTCTTGACATTGGTAATGCGTTAAAAACAACACGATCTTACAGCGTACGGTGGACGACTGAGCAAATTTTACACTCGCAACGTGATGAAATAAGTGTTGGGACGTAAATTAATTTACGCATCAACATGTAAAAAAAAAAAATAAGAAAACGGCAGCATGCGAATTGATTTTCGCAGAACGGAACGAAAGCCAACGCTTGGAAAGAGTTGTCAACTCATCGGGGTTTCGTCCGTGAACGCGCAGCGATAGCGGTCATGCGTGCGACAGAACAGGCAAATATAAAATGGTTAATAAACCGCATTTTTGTCACGGCGAAATATCGTGCAAGCATCGCCATGTGGCCAAAATCACAGTGCATTATATTCGGCTCTCCCTTTATTTTAGAACACAAACCTTTGAACGCACTTTTACCAAACCTGAAAATGTCTTGAAGCGACCACAAAACCCGGTAAAACAGCGGCGAGCCCTGCGAGCTGTTTCTTCGTCGGTTAGGCTTAGCGGATTCACCGCCGTGAGATGAACGATCTCGTGAAAGCACTGGGAATACTTCACACGTAGACTTTTTATGTTACGGTCGCAAAGGAATGTCGTCCCGTCCGTCGTAATCCTCGCACCGTCGAATTCACAAGCACTTCGTAGAACCACATATCAACCGCCGTCATGCCGTGCCCCGCACACCACCACCGAACCACAGACCACTGCCGGCCATCGGGCCATCGTCAACAAAACCACGTGATCCCCGTCCAAGTACCACGTGACGCCTGCGCCACTCCGCACTCCGACGGCTACACACGGAGTGCCAAAGAGCGCTCTGAGAGGGAGAGGCGTCCTCGGAATGAACCACCCGATCAGGCCGCAGCACTCTCTTTCAACCACCCGATCTCGCGCGCTCTGGAAAGAGCGCTCGAGAGCGCGCAGAAAGAACCACGCGAATTCGCCATATGACAACAAATATTGGAGAACTCCAAATCAAGCTTTTTGCACATGCAAACTGAGAATTCATTTCTCTGGATTACCTCACTTCTCTTTTAGAGCGCAGCTCTTAGGGGCCCGTTCCCGGCTTGAGCGGCGTCGCCGTCGCCGTCGTTGTCGGCGTAACCAAGGTCATCCCAAGGTCACGTGACCCCTCCAGGTCACGTGACCCCTCCCAAGGTCATCTCAAGGTCACGTGACCCCACGTGACCCCTCGAGGTCACGTGACCCCTCCCAAGGTCATCTCAAGGTCACGTTACCCCAAGGTGACCCCCACGTGACCCCCAGGTCACGTGACCCCTCTGAGGTCACGTGACCCCTCTGAGGTCACGTGACCCCCCTCCCCGAAGTCACGTGACACCCCCCCCCCCCTCCCCCCCGAGGTCACGTGACCGCCCCACCCAGAGCATATTAAAGAATGAGGGGAGGAGGAGGGGTCTACCCTCCCCTCAGTACCCTTCACTCCTCCTCCTCAAGAGCTGCGCTCCAATTCGGCGTTACAGGGATTTGTAAACGGCTTCCACTTTTTGCTGAGTCATCTTATGAAGGAAACAAGAAGGCATTTCCTTTTTGGGATTGACTGGCCGACAAGGTATTTGCAGTCAGATGAATGAGAATAAACTGCATCTGTGTGCTCCAAAAGTTATTTTTGCTGCTTCAAAAGGAGCTTCTTCAAAAGGTGCTTCAAAGTGACTCGAACCAGCCATATATCTGTGTCTTGTTTAGGCATGTGTAAATAGTGGATTTTGAGTTAGAAGCAAATTCAGAGCGAATAGTGGTTTTGGCCGAATATTTTCAAATTGAATATTGAATAATTTCTTTAAGCCTATCGCCACTGCACCATGCTTAAAACAAAAACCCAGCAAAGTCGTGAAGGTTGTTCCCAAGCTTGCCCTTCTCCACTTCTAAAGGAAGTTGGTTTTAATCCAACTGCTATATTTATCGACTGTCTTGCGGCGGGCTAGTCTTGTTGAGTGTGCTTGTTACTGAACACCGGTGCACTTCGGAAAAGCAGCATTCGCGAAAGCGAGCTTTGCGGGTGTCGCTTCTCCGCAGCGCATGGGTGCTCAGTAAGAAGCATGCTCAACAAGCTAACCTGCCGCGATAAACGCTTAAAAAAAATATGATTATTCAATAAAATTTATGAAACCCATGAACTTGCCAACTCATGAACTTATTGAACTCACTCGCTGTGCCTTCCCCTTCAGCATTATACAGGTGGGGCTGGCATCCTTGGATCAGTTGACAAAACTTACAAAACTCGCGAATCTCAAATGCAAATATCAAATAGCGTATTATTAAAAACTTCTGTTCAAAAATTCAAATATTCGCAGAATCCTAGTTTTGTCAACTACTTTCTCGAAAATAGCGTCCAAGACACTGCGACAACCGTGACATTCATGTTTTCTCACACTTTTTCCGGAACTTCTACTCCCCACTGCCAGGATTGCGACATCCGGCAGCCTGACACTCCGGCTTTTGTGTCGTCATTTGTTGCCACTTCGGTGCCACTTCGGACGTGTGGGCGGAATATCGCGCTAAAAACACCACTTGGAGACGCGTTCCGGGGGCCCTGTAACAGTAGGCTTGGGTCCGACGTCGTTGCGGCCGAGGCATTCGGGGTGCCGGGGTTTTGCTTAGCGCCGTTTGGACGCAGGTGGCGCCTGGTGCGCGCAGCCCTGCCGCACGTGATGCACTGCTGCGCGGCGCTGCTGCATGCGCGCAAAGAGAGCTGCCTGGAGAAGCTGGGCTCGGCCGAAACCAAGCTGCTCTACACTCTCCACTGGATCCTGCTGGATGCGGCCGAGGAGTGTAGCGACGCCGAGCACGCCGGGGGCCCCGACCCCGCTCGCTACGTCTTCCCCATCAGCGTTATACAGGTGCCCTCCTTGGATCAGCTTGCAAACTCACAAATTCACCAAACTCCCAATTTCACCAAACTCCCAATTTCACCAAACTCGCAAATTTACCTAATTCATGATCTAACCAAAACTCATGAACTCACTGATCTGGTAAACTCATTGAATTCATGAACTCACTATGTCTTCCAAACAGCATCATACAGGTGGGGTCAGCATCATTAGACCAACTCATGAATTCACAAATCCACCAACTCGTGAACTCACCAAAGTCATGAATTCCCTGAAGTCATAAACTCAACAAGCTCATGAACCCACCAAATTTATAAACTCACTCACTACGTCTTTCCAACAGCAACATACATGAGGGGCTGGCGTTCTTGGATAAACTCACGAATTCACCAACTCTAAGCGAAGCATTTTTAAAGTTGAAGGCTGACGTGCAAGCAGTGTTTTCTGCCAGGAAGAAAACACTTCCCCAATGTCCTTCCCTTCATTCCTGCTCACTCTCTTTCCCCCTCACCCCCCAAAAAAGCGGGTCTGGGATATTTCTTGCAGAGAGATATGGTTTGCTTTTTCTGAAAGAAAAAAAGTAATCGGCGGCGTCTCCCTCGTTTTTACTTGTTTGTCTGCTTTTAAGCACTACTGTCGAGACAGTTTATAATGCAGCCAGTTACAACGAAATAGTGGCTATAGTGAAGTGATCATGATTACCCATTCCCGTTTGCACTTTTTAATTTATTTGTGTGCTTTTAGCGAAGGAAAATGAGCAGCTTCCGCATAAATAGCGAAAAGAAATTTTCTATGATTTAAGAGATATAATCAAATTCGAAAAATTTACCAAGTTGCAGACCGCCACACTTGCTGCCGTGGCCGAGCAGCCATTCAAAACGGGCTGCAGACGTGTCCTGCAAAGACTGATGGCGGCAGCCTCTGCATCATCGTCTGCTCCCCACTCCTTATCTGGAAAGCAACTTTTCTGCATTGCAGGCGGAGAAGCCGTCCTAGCGTGCTGGTGGGACATTCAGAGCGCTAGCGACAACGTACCGATGCATACCAATAGACACGACGGAGATAAGCCTAGATTTAAGAGAGGGAGCAACCCTAACCAGGGAGAGCATTTCCAATATAATAATGGACGGTTCCTGGCAGATTGGCACAAGTGCGCCTGCATTTGGTTCTTTGTGGCCGGTGTGGCAAGGCAACCGGGCGGAGAGGTGGACACATTTGCAGATGGAGTGGGGAACGGAAGTATCATGCACCTTTACATTTGAGGACCAGTGCTCAAAGGTGGAACCCAATGCCCGTCCCACCGCGTGGCCGACGGCTACCAGCGAGGGCGGTGGCCGCACCGGGTTCGCCAACGCCATGCCAACAACAATGATCCCGATATCCAACAGTCGAGAACCAGGGGTCCCCAACAAGACGCTGCGGTCAATCGGGCCGTGGACACAGTGCCTGCAGCAGCCGTTAACCTGAGAGCCAAAGGGGGTAATTGCAAGCGGAGTCATTGCCGGTAGGCCGAGCTCACGCCGCTACCCGTCGTCGCAGGAGTTTGGGCCAGGGCTCTCGGCAGACGGAGGTCCACTAGGAAAAGCTGACGCGGACTGTCAAAGCCAGGGGAAACGCTAGCATTGAGTCGTCGCCGGTCAGACGAGCTCGCGCCGCGACTTGACCCGTTACCTAGAGTCCACTCCAGGACTCCTCGACCAGACGGCCGTCCACTCGAAGGAGGGCAGGCCCGACTGTCCCTGCGATCTCGCTGACCCCTCGAAAATGGGAGACGCGCGGAGGAGTGTGAGAGGGTAGGCCAACATGGTGGCATACTCTCCCCACCACGATACGGAGCGACCAAGCTCGAAGCCAGACGACTTCGCCCAGAGCATCTGCGACCTACGCCTTTACGGGGGATGGAAACCAGTGGCTCCCACAATGGTGAATGCTTTCAACACCTTGCAGGCTGCAGCTCGTTTTGCAAATGCAGCCCACAAACCACGCGAGCCCGATCAAGCAGTTGCCCTCTCTCTTAAATCTAGGCTCTCTATACCGATGAAACACAAACTTAAATGCAAGCTTGGTGCTGTGCTCGCTTTATGTTCTGTGTCGGCGTCGCTAGTTTGGGAGGTCGCTCTTTTCGCAAAAGTCTAGCTTTGCACAAGCACCGATTCGGTGACTTACCACCACTCAACGGTGACGAGTCCTGGCTCCGCCGGCACCTTGACGGGAAAGACAAAGGCAATCTCCTTGAAACGCAAGCGTGCCGCCATCCTCGACAAGGTGCGCATAAACGTAAAGAGTGCCGTCCACTGCAGGTGTCCTAAGCGGGCGGCCATCGCAGCTGTTGACACAATCCTTACATACCCGCGGGATCTTCTCTCGATTGGAGCTTCTCACATTTAGTGAGAAGCGGCTCCGATCTAGCAGAGAGCGCGTGCAGGGAAGCCTCGACTGCTTTCTGCAGGCACGATAAACATGTGCCCGCAACGGATGGTATCACCTTTGTTTTTATTTTTTTGTGTGTTACTTTTATAGAGTTTAGATACAACGAAGAAGTGGATATAGCGAAGTGATTTTAGATTCCCGTTGGCTTTGTTATAACCAGTCTCGACTGTACTTTAGGAGGCCTGAGCCACCCATTAGTGTATAACTATGCAAAGCGCAAGTTTGTCTGCTTCTTTCGAAGGGGTTGGGGTGACGTCCGTCTGAACACCGAGCTCCGATTGCCTCTGATTGAGGTCTCCCCCTCATGTAATGCCTTCGGGCGATTTGAGGTCAATAAATGAAATGAAATACCTCAATCAGAGGAGCCAATCAGAGCTCGATGTTCTGACATCACCATAACCCCTGAAAAAGAGGCAAAGAACTTGCACTCCGCATAGGCTAAACACTGTTTAGTATACACATTGTTTACAAGGTTCGTAAACTGCTGCACTTTTTTATGGACCCTTTTTAAATTCAGTCTGGCAACTTTGGTCACTATCATCATCATCTCAGTGTATGGCATCTGTACCAAGCTAATGGCGACTTTCTTGAGGCTGGTGAAGGAAGAAGTTGGTTTACGCCCTAGATGTGAAATTTATTCAGTGCAGTGCGACTGTCAGCCCGGGGTCTGTAACGTGCATCACAGAGTAGTGTTGCATGACCGCACGCCGGTATGGTGCTCATCCGGATCAAAACATGCAGGGGTAGGGGTTGAGCCCAAGATCCCTGGGTTCTGCAGTGAAGCTTTCCCTCCACTTGCTGCGATCGCGCTGACACTCTTGGCCGCCGATCCCCCTCTCCTTCCGCTCGCAGGTGTTTGTGTACCTGTTTGCGCCACTGATCCCGTTCCTGAAGCAGTCGGACTTTGTGGGCAGCTTCCGGCTGGAGAATGGGGTGCGCATCTGGGAACCCCTCTGGGAGTTCCGGCACCCCAGTGTGCCCTGTTTCACGGCCCCCGTGCAGCCCCACGGGGCCAGGGCGGGATCTCGGGGGGACCTGGAGCTGCGCAGGCCCCACTACGGGGACGTCTTCCTCGGGGGGGCCCCGGGGGCCAAGCTCAGGAAGCAGGGTGAGGTCCCCTTTTTGCACTCGCGGGGGGGGGGGGACCATGGCTCATGGAGATAATTATCTATTGGAAGCGCGCTACGAGGCAGTGGCGCTGCAGTGCGGCTCGCAGCACAAGCATTTCACATAGACTACAACCGGACTGGCATAGAAATCCTGTGTAGCTGCCAACCTTTCTAATCGATGTCAGCTTACTTGTGCCACGGCTGCTTGATGGTCCCTTCATCGAGCGGCCGTGCCTGAGCACAGCACTATACAAAACGTTCAGGGTAGGCATGTGCAAATAGTGGATTTTAGGTTTGAAGCAAATACCGTATTTACTTGCACAATGAACACACTCGCGTGATGAACGCGCCCCCCCAAGTCGGCTCTCAAAATTCCGACTTTTTTTTCACTCGCGTAATAAACGCACCCCCAACTGGGACGTCAAAATTTTGACCCCCTCCCCCCCACGTGCAAAATGAATGCACTTTTCTATCCTGGTGCAGCGAGGTCGCGAATGCATGGGCAGCGTGGGCGAACAAAACGCCTTGCAATTTGCAAAGATCCAGCGAAGTAAAAAAAAAAACATAAAGAGGAGTTTTTTTTTTTTTTGCACAGTGCAGTCTTTGGGTTTGCGCGCTGGCCCTCTAAGAAAACAAAACATCTTGTGAAAAACGGCAAAAAAAAAACAACAAAAAAACACAAAATTGAGAAAAAAAAGCAAAAAAAAAAAAAGCTTTTTTTTTTTTTTTTTGCGCAGCGCAGTTTGGTTATTGGGGGTTGTGCGCCGCGCGCAAGGAGATAAAAATAAGCGGAGAGCCCTCGCCTAAGCAACGCCTAAGCAAACAGAACAGCTTGCAAAAGGCGGCAAAAAAAAAAAAAACAACACGAAAAACCTCAAGGAACTAGGAGAAAAAGAAAACAGGAGTTTTTTTTGTTTTTTTTTGAACAGCTTGGTTTGGTTACGGGGTCGGGCGCCGCGTGCAAAGAGATAAGAAGTTATTTTGATTTTTCAGGATAAAAGGTCCGTTCATTGTCCGAGTAAATACGGGCGCAAAAATTTTACTTCGCGTAATGAACGCCCCCCCCCCCCCCCAACTTTGCATCGATTTTTCGGAAAAAAAAAGTGTGTTCATTCTGCGAGTAAATACGGTATAAAAGCGAATAGTGGTTTTCGTAGAATATTTTTGGATCAAATATTGAATACTTTTCTAAACCTTTCACTACTGAACCATGCTTCAGTAAAAACCCAGCTGAACTCATAAAGGTTGTTTCCAAACTTCCACTTGTCTATTTCTGTATTTATTTTCTAATCCCAATGGAGGCTCGAGAATGTATGGAGGCTTGAGAATGTCACTTATGGTCACACTGATCATAATCATAGTCAGGTTAATAGACAGAAAGTGGAAAGTTGATGCATAAAATATATTGACTGTGGCCTCAAGAAGTCCAATGCTTGCTTTTGGATTGTAAGTAAGCAGCACATTTAACATATAATTAAACTTGTAGAGATGCACAGCTATACCTAATCGAGGGGATTTGTAAATATTCTTACTATATTCAACCTGCTGCTCTGCCTCCTCCAGGTTACGGCGAGCAGCGGCACGACGCGAGTCCGAAGTCGTGGTGTTGAAATTGCATTTTGGGATATCAGTATAGGTGCACGGTGTAGGAAATTGCGTACCGCCGCCGATTCGCCGTTTCCCACGTGGTCCGTCTACAACCCGAGTCCAGCCTGGTTCTTTCACGGGAGCGGGATTCCGCTCCCAGTTTATTGGTACAATACAGTCATGTCTCGTTAATATGGACCCCGTTAATCGGGACACCCCGCAATATGGACGAAATTTTCGGCGACCGGTTTCCCGCCATGCAATTCTGTCCCGTTAATACAGAAACCCGCAGTCCGGACTATGGACGACTATTTTGGGGACGAAACGGGAAAATACAGGCATTTTTGTCTCGTTAATATGGACACGTGTCCACGAAAAAAAAATATTAGTGACCCCAGTGTGTACTACTCGGAATTCACCATTGCCTTTTTGTTCCCCGTCTGGTTACTTTGAAGGCGAGTTCACATACCCGACAGAAGAAAAGGTTAGTGAATCGTAGAGGTCACAGTTTGTACCCGGAATTCACTATTGTCCTCCGCCCTTGAGATAAGACCTGCGCGCCTGAAGGTGGTCGTTTTTTTTTTGTTTCTTGTCTTTCAAGTTTAAACGCATGCCATCTCCTTCCGGGTTGGCATACGTGATGAATCACATTCGTTGTGCATAAGAGGCAAGAGGCAAGGCTGGACGCTTCTCCGGTCATTTCGGAGGTGGAGACGATGACAGGTGTTAAGCGTAGACGGACAGAGCTTTCTGCTCAGCTGAAAAAGGAGATATGCAAATTCAAAATTGAAACGCCTTCAGCGTCTGCTCAGTACGTGAAAGAGTGGAGTGGAAAAAACCTCGGCGTTGATCTCGGAAAATCGACAGTCCACGCAATTCTAAAAGAATCAAAGAAATGAATGAGCGTTCCCACAACCAGCTCCAGTTCCTGCCGGCAGCGACCCCCAAAGTTTGAGAAGTTGGAGGAGGCCGTCAACATCTGGTTTGCGGAAATGCGCTCCAGAAGGGCCGCCGTCAGCGACGAGATGCTGCAAGAAAAGGCGAAGGAGTTCGGCACAACGATGGGTAAGTGAGTTCTGAGCGTATCTTTTTAACCACTGAGTTTGAAAATGTTTTCTCAAAATGTTACGCATTCTTCCCCAAAAATGTTGTTCTAGTTGCTCGTTCTTGTGCAATTACGCGTCTACGTTAAAATAACTGTTCTCTATTCAGTGGTTTTATTTTAATGTCTGCAATCTTCACGTCTTTATGCAGACATTCATGACCTGAACTACTCAAGGGGTTGGCTCAGCAGGTTTAAGAGGAGGCATGGAATTTCAAGCCACCGTATTCATGGAGAGAGTGGAAGGGTGGATACAGCCGCCGTTGCCAGTGCTCGGAAACAGCTTACGGAATTTCTTGCTCAGTATTCTCCAGATGATATTTACAACTTCGACGAGGCTGGCTTTTTTTACAAGTTGGGCCCATCTTCGACTCTGGCATCCGAACCTGTGGCTGGAAACAAGCGAAGCAAAGAGAGAATCACGGTGGGATTCTTGTGCAACGCGAGCGGCACCCACAAGTGGAAGCCCATTGTCGTGGCAAAAGCGGAGCGACCACGATGTTTTGGAAAGACATTTGACCCAAACATGTATGGCTCTTACAATTGCAACAAGAAAGCATGGATGACAGGAAAGATATTTGAAATCTTCTTGGCTAAATTCGACCGCTTCTTGAAGGCTGAGAAGAGGAGGGCTGTTTTGTTGGTTGATAACGCATCATGCCATTCTGTTCGTGCGGACTATGAAAACCTTACCTTGAAGTTCTTTCCACCCAACATGACTGCCAAAATACAGCCCTTGGACGCAGGAATTATTCGCGCGGTTAAGGCACACTACAGAGGTGAACTTGTGCGGCACTACATCACTTGCGCGGAAGACAACGAACCGCAAACTGTTGACTTGAGGTGGTGCCTTCAAAAGCTGAAGAGGGCGTGGGACGCGGTGAGGCCTCAAACCATTGTGAACTGCTGGCGTCACGCAGGTATTCTTGTTAACAGCTCTGCTATGGAGGTGGAGTATCCGATGGATGAACTTCCGCTCGCGGCCCTTCGTGAAGCTCTTCGACAACTCGGGGAGGAAAACCCAGATGAAGAGGCATCGGCATTCTTGGATATAGACGAAGAGACTAACAGCTGGGAGCCTATGAGCGACGAGCAGATCATGGTGCTTGTCGGTGAATCCGCTCAACAGGGCCATCAACTTGTCGAAAACTTTGCACCGACAGAAACAGACGGTGAAGAGGAGAGACCAACCGTTACTCGATGTGAAGCTCGCCGTGGCTTGGAGACAGCGATCGCCTACCTTGAGCAGGAGGGGGACGGAGAACGTGCACTTCAAGTGGCCGAAGTGTTGCGCTTTTTGGACACTAAAGTGGGATCGAAAGCGTCAGTGCAAACTCATATCTCCTCGTTCTTTGCGAAATAAACAATGCTTTTTTTTTAACAATTATTACCTAATGTTTGTGTTTTTGACCTTGATTCGTTATTATGGACGATTCACATTATGGACGATTTTTCTGGGGAACGGAGGCGTCCATATTAACGAGACATGACTGTAACACACTACGCTACAAAACACTCAATATAAACTACAAATACAAGCTACATTACACAAATATTTACAAATGCACGTTAAGCCTAAAGCTAAACACAAAGAAGGCCCCCAGGCCTAGTGTCCCACCATACCCTAGATCCAGTTGCCACCCACCTGCCTGCCTGCGTCCCGATCTCGTCCGGAGTTCTTAGAGGGCCTCTTGCGCCCTGCCCCACCGAGTATATATCCATCGATGGGCGAGGAGGTTTCTCCTCACCCGCCACGGGGGCGCCTGCAGCGCCCGCCAGTGGCTAGGAGAGAAAGCGGTGCGTCAGGAGCCGAGTTCGAGATCCCGATCGACCCCACGGCGACACGACCATGTGATCGTGTCTGAGGCGAGGCAGCTACGCAGCTGCCTGGCGTCCAAGGATTGGCAGAATGGTTTGATGGACGCCCTCGTGAATGCACGGTGCGCCATAACAGGTGGTATAAGACAACACCAGGTGGAGATGTGTTCCAGGTGCCTAAGTGTTAGGGCATAGCCGCTCGCCTCACGCTTGGAGCTTTCTCTCGGGCTCTTCTGACTTTATGTCACCACCTCATAGTACATATCCTGCTTGCTCACAGATCCCCAGGACTCTCTAAATGTGGACGTGGTGAAATTTTGCTTATGATTACCGCAAACGACTTAATTATCGCGAGGACCTCGTTTTCAGTAATTTCGCAACCTGCAAATTATTGGAAAAAAATTGATCTTACCAATATATCGCTCCGTAGTAATAAATTTATGGCGTAGCACTCGTAATCGCGGAATTTAGTAACGTCAAATTGTTCCTGAAATTCAGACTTGGCAACATTCGCGATATATTGTGCCCACGAAAATAAAGTTGTTTACGGTAAATGTTGGGGTGGTTCAGTCAATGAAATGTTGAAAGCGCATAAATATTCTCTCTTGAGGTTGCATCTTTGGAGGTTGGCAAAATTTGTTGTTGAACTTTGCAGGTTCAGATTACGTGTGTGGTATGCACATTTTGTGAGAAACTGTGGTCACGGAAATACATACTTTTAAGATGTGGCACCAGGCACCTAAGTGTAATCTACCTCCGCGCACTTCCCGTTTCCTTCTACTATAGCTTGTCAGCTGATGCTCAGCAGCATTAAAGGGAAGCTATGGAGCTTCTTGAAAAAAATGAATTAGTAGTGAATTCTAGTGTATTTTTACCTCGTGAACCCGAATACCAATACCATTTGCCGCGCAAGTATTTTTAAACGCGAGAAAAACGCGAAAGACATTTGCTGTCTGTGACGTCATCGACGGATCTTTTGGCTTGCCAAGGCTAGGGAGGCGGGGCTTCAGCCCTATTTTCAAATTGCTCTTATGGCTCTCCGGCGCGTCGCATTAAAATATAATTGTGATATCTGTTATTCTAAAGGCCAAATGAACGTAATTCAAGCGTTTTTTCTCAAATGCAGAAGTGCCCCATCTTCCCTTTAAGCTCGTTGTGCTGCCCCGGCGAAGGCTTCTTTAATGTTCCCTTTGTATTCTGCCCCGCTTTTTGCGGCGAGGTATGGATTTTTAATAATTAATCTTTGAAGTGAGGTAACATATATCGACTGCACATCTTTTTTTCTATAATGCAGCATATCCATGGCGTGCCGTACTGCCATGAGATAAGCCTGTGGGATGTTTTCCGGCCGTGCGTGGAACCACGGGAGCTACTCTGAGAAGCACATTGGTTCTTAGGAACTGAGCTAAGAACCATCAGCATGTATATTTGCTATCAGAATGAGAAGGGCAGGGCGTGTCTCTCGAACGCCCTTACTCCAGCAGGCGCTCGCTGTTTTTGCCTTGCTTTGGCTACATGTGCTTGCTCGAAGTACACGAGACGTCGAAGCTGTTCTCACCTCTGCTCTCACTCAGAGTAATCCCCGCTTCGATTGACTCCGGCCGCTTCTTTTGCAGAGTCTTCCAAGACTGGGACTGATGAAAACGAGGGCAGCGGCCGCACTTCTCCTGACCCAATTCCTACCAGCAGGGCTTCCTCGGCATCTGCCATGGTGAGTGCCAAAGGCCGCAGACAGGCAGCGGAAATGCTACGTCGCCCTCCAGCGTCCTTCCCTGGGTTTTCGTACCGGACGCTTGCAGTTGGCCGGTGTGGTTTGCGCATACTTGCTACATCTATCGCTTTTAATCCTTTGTACATTATTGGCCAAAAAGACACCTATGCATTGATTGCACTATTTTATGTGACCATTTTGAGCTGTCATTTCACCGTTAACTCAGGTTTGAACGGAAGGTCGCTGAAATGCACCTTATCTTAGCTGTTTCTCCGGCTCTATCCTGGATTACGAAGATGCGATCACATCTTCTGGTGAAATCAGATCTCTAAATAACTATCTCTGAAAGTTTTTCAAGAATTTTTTTGATTGCAGAAAGAAAGCGGACGCAGTCATCGCATGTATGTCCACATACAACTTTTTCTCGAGCGCAGCAAAACCGTTCTATAGTTCGTTGCAGGTTAAGGATTGCAGGACGAGCTCGTCCTGCAAGGCCTTCCACTAGGGTTGTGCGAATATTCGAAATTTCGAATACAGTAAACTTTGGTTAGTTCGACCTTGGTTAATTCGACTTTTTGTTTAATTCGATTGTGTTGAAAAGTCCCGGCGGGTGCCCATACATTTCTATAGGAGGAAAAGTTCGATAGTTTGAACTCTGGAAGACTCCGCATCGAATAATTCGTCCCGAGCGAATGCGCGCAGGCTCACATTGCACGGCACCATGGCAGAAAAACCACCAACGTACGGCGAAACGCAGGCCCTTTGCTGCAAAGGCAAACGTGCGCAAATATGCACCTGCTCCTCTACGTTGTTGAGATGGACCGTTAATAATGACACGAGCCAGCGCAACCAATCTGGCGTGGAGTAGCGCGGAGAACATAGCCCGTAATCGGGCGCAGATATAGCGCGCACTTTCAAAGTGCTTTTCTGTAGCATCGTGTGCAGTCCATCTTGTGTGCATTCGTGCCAGAAAGTGCAAGCTCTCTTTTCCATTCTTTTTTTTTTGTTCTTTTTCTTTGTCGCCAACCAAAGTTGGCTCATAAAGCTTTCTCAGTGAAGCGCGCACCCTCAAAGCTCTTTTCTGTAGCATTGTGTGCGGTCCATCTTCCATGCCGGAAAACGTGGGCTCTCTTTTCCTTTTTTTTTTGTTGTTGGCGATCTGGCTGCTTGGCGCCCAAAATCGACTCGTAAAACTTCCTTTTTTCGTTTTTTTTTTTTTAGCGCACGATTTTATGGGGACGTGATGTTTAGTTACGCTGCTCTCCGGAGCATGCTTTTGGACACGTCTTAAGCGCAGACGGCAGCAGACCATCCGTGAGTACTTTGGACAATAAAAGGAAGTTTAACTTTAACCGTTTTTTGTCCTTCTTTAATTCAATCATTCGGATAACTCGACCAAATTTCAATGTCCCGTTGAGGTTGAATTAACGGAAGTTTAATGTGGTAGTTTCGAATAATACACTGTTCGATATTCGCTTTGAGAAGAACTGCACTATTCGCATTTTTCAAAGTGTTGATTACAGCGGGTTAGCCCCGTTGAGTGTGCTTCTTACCGAGCACCGGTGCACTGCGGAGAAGCAACACTTGTGGAAGTGAGCTCCGCCGGTGTTGCTTCTCCGCATTGCATCGGTGCTCGGTAAGAAGTGCACTCAACGGAGTAGCCCGCCGCAATAAACACTTGTAAAAGTATGAATGTCGCAATTGCGTGCTTGGAAGAAAACCATACATTCAAAGCGGGATGGTGCATGCGTGCCTGCTGTATATGAAAATAAATGGAAACTTTGTGAATGTGTTTACTGTAAAACCTTTTATTTTCTCGGCCCCTATTTTACGCGAATCGGTCAAAGAAGACATAGTCGCGGCCACTAAATTTCACGAGTTCCAGAGACCTGCATTGAAATTCTTAAGGACCGAAATTTTCGCGTGCCTTTAAATTTCGCAAATTTCTAAATTCGCGAAAATTAAGGGCTTGTGAACATTAAGAGTTTTACGGTATCTACATTTTAGTAAAAGTTTCAAAATTAAACTGACTGTTTTGCAAGAGTACACTCTGTTAGGCAGAGATGCCCTTACAAGCTGCATTCATCATGCACGATTCATTCTTTTTTAGCTTAAAATTAAAGAAAGAATATTTAAGATGTTTAAATTCACTCAATTGGGTATAGTTGACCATTTCCATAAGATTCATTTTATGTCAAACTTGTCATCTACTTACCATCCCAAGACATCAGGCCTTCTGGGGTCCCAGTTGAAAAATATAGATAGATTAAACTTGGCTTATAAATGAACAAGTGGAACAACCTTCACAAGTTTAGCTGGGATTTCGTCTAAGCATTATGCTATGGTAGTGAATGGCGTGGAAAAACTATTCAATATTCGAATCGAAAATATTCGGCCAGAACCACTATTCGCTTCAAACTCAAAATCCACTATTCGCACAAAACCACCTTCCACCCTTTCCGATTTAGCAGAGTGAATGCTGGAGAGGAAGCAAGTGGAGAGCTTTTTGGGAGGGTTTTCTCCTCATCTTCTTATGTTGCAACAGACCATAGAAACATTTTTTTTTCAGTTCTTGAAGGAGGCAACATTTGCCGCATAGCGTCCAGTTCAGTTTCATTCATTTATTGATACTGTCACCCCATTGGGGTATTACAGGAGTGGGTGTTAAAAAATAGAAAGATAAAAGTGGCCACTATACAAAGAGTAATTAACCTATACAATGGATTGCACAAGACCGCTTCATGCACTTAAAAGCGAACAAGAAAAGTCACCGAACTGGAAGCAGCACAAGTATGAACGTTTTACAAGAAAACAGAAACTTGGTCCATATTTGTACAATTACTGCTTTTCACGACTGTCGCACCTGACAATTTATCTATACTTTCTAAAACGGCATTAAGGGATGTTGACGAAACAGCAGAATCAGGCAGCATATTTCACTTTTTGATGGTTCTAGCAAAAAAACTGAATTTTAAACAATCATTTCATATGGATGGGTTACGAATAAACATGTTATGGCAATGCCTTGAGAATCCGTTAGTGCTGATTTTGAAGTAATCCGATCTGTTGATCTTTATACAGTGATGTATAATTTGGAAAAGGAATATCAACCTTTCGTATTTGGTCCTCGATTCTAAAGTTGGGAGATTTGCGAGTTCACATAGTTTTGTAAGTGAAAAAGCGTGGCCGAATTCATTAAAAATGAACCTGGAAGCAAGTCGCTGAATTTTTTTGAGTTTAAGGCGATTGGTCACAGTGTGTGGATCCCACACAATTTTTGCGTACTCAATAATCGGTCTTACCAGGGCTGTGTAAGTCAGGCTTCTTATTTCCAGAGTTGCACTCGTAAGGTTTTGCCTGAGGCACCAAAGTGCTTTGTTGGCCTTGAGGCAGACTTTATCAATGTGGGTATTCCAACGTAGGTCAGGGGTTAATACTAAACCTGTAGTCCATTGCTACTCAAGAAGGCAGGGCGAGGGTAAGACAGTCCAGGGGGGAGGAAGCAGACGGAATGCTGGGAAAGAGAAGGGAAACCTCCTTCTCTCTTTTGCGTTCGTCTGCTTCCTCCTCCCCGGCTAGTCTTACCCTCGCCCCACCTTCTTGAGCTGTAACAAAATATAGGTGCTTATGCTCTTTTAATCTTGCAAGCCCGACGGCGTCAATGTGATAGTTGTATGCTAAAATATTTTTTTTTTCGTAGATACTGACATGAAGACTGATTTTTCAAGATTTAACTCCATCTACCAATTACCACACCAGTGTTAAAATTTTTGTAGGTTACGGTTTTGTTTGTCCTAGTCATCTGGAATTTCTATCTTATGGTATATCACACAGTCATCTGCAAATATAGTCTGATTGGAACGGATATGTCGTTATGCAGGTAATTTATGATTACGTATTAAAAACAAAAGGGGACCCAATGAAATCCCCTGGAGAACCCCTGCAGGTACCGGTGAAAGGCTCGACTTATGCCCCTTCACTTCGACAAACTGTTCCCTAGAAGAGAGGTATGATGAAAACCACTGTGTAATAACTGGATTTTTAAAAATGGCGTTAATTTTGAGTAATAAGTTAGAGTGTGACACTTTGTCATACGCTTTCACGAACTCCGAAAATACTATGCCAGTTTGACCGCGACAATTAATCGTATAAGAGAGGTCATGGACAGTTTGGATAAGTTGGGTTGTGGTGGAAAGTCCTTTCCGAAAGTCATGCTGGGATCGGAACAATGATTCATAATCTTCAAGATAGTTCAATAAATGTTTAGATACAATATGTTCAAGCAGCTTCGAGCATGTGCTAACAAGCGAAATGGGGCGATAGTTGCTCCCGTAAGACACACTGCCACCTTTATGGATAGGAACTACTTTCGCGCATTTCCAAGCACTAGGAAAGGAACAATTATTGATGGATGACTAATAATAATAATAAACCTTTATTCATAGGAATAAACAAATACATATACAGGTCTCTCTAAGCTAAGGGAGGCTTGTGTGGCATGACCTGGCAGTACAGCCCATTCCTTGCAGAAATAGCAGGTCACAATGTAACTCTAGATCTATCACTTGGTGGTATCATAAAATAACTTTTTCAGACTCTTTTTGAGCCCATGGTTAGAAGTATTAAAGAATAAGTTATCTGATAGTTCATTAAAAATCTTCGGTACGTAAAATGACCTAATTCTTTACTCATAGTTAGGGATCCGTGTTTTCGGAGTTTATTTTTCGTGAAATTCGGAGGGTGTTTTTCGGAGTTTATTTTTTAGGAAAAATTCAGTGTTTATCGGAGCTTATTTTTCGTAAATTCCCAATTCTCCGAAATTCGGAGATTAATTTCGCAGTGTTTTCTATTAAAAAATAAATAATAACCGGATGCAAACGTGTGCCAGATAAAAAATAAAACGCGCTTGTATCAATTAAGATTTCTTCAGTTGAATTTGGCATTGGTGTCATTGGCAATACTAATTTGTTCTACGACAAAAGTCGCAAACAAGTGTGGCTTCGATAAACGCCGATACTTTAAAATCAATAAACTGCCGGAGGCAGCCGCAAGGAAGCTTGCAGTCATCCCATCAATCTATCCTGCGGCCGCGCGAGGGGGAGTGGTTAAGGATGAAATAGAGAAGTTTCAACTGCCCCTCTTCCCTATTTTATACTCTCTCTATGATCCATAGCTTTCACTCTTACAAAAACATACCATCTCCTTTTTCTAAATCCCAAATCCCATGGCCCAAACTGGAAACCAAAAGAGTGGCTTTTGTCGAGACACAAAGGGTACGATGGCCTGTTTCGCTGAACCAAGCTTGACGAGACAAGCCGCAAGACCCCCTTTGACAACGGTCCGAGGCTTGAAAGATAATTATGGTGTCATTTTCCCAGGACCATTGAGCCTGTGCTGCCCAAATTGCAAAAAAGAAAAAAAAAAAAAAAGAAAAAAAATTGTTTTTGGGGGGAGGGAGGGAGGGAGGGAGGGGCGGGGCGGGGCGGGGCGGGGCGGGGCGGGGCGGGGCGGGGCGGGGCGGGGCGGGGCGGGGCGGGGCGGGGCGGGGCGGGGCGGGGGGGGGGGGGGCGGGGCGGGGCGGGCGGCATGGCACAACAATTCGGAGTTTATCGGATAAATCCGAATTGACAAAAATTTTACCGGCGGGTGTTTTTCGGAGTTTATCGGATTTATCCGAAAACACGGAGCCCTACTCATAGTGAGTGAGTATAGATACCAGGAATTTCATAGCAAGTAGTGTTCCTAAATGTATGTGCGGCCGCCCTCTCAGTTTTAAATTCGCTGCACCAAAAGTGACGACAAAAAACTGTCTGAATAAACAATCATTAGGAACAAGGCAGTTTGAGTAAACTAAATAAGTTATCACTTGAGGAAGGTGTTGAACCATAAGCAACACTTTTAACACCCCCTCAGAATGCTATCAACTCTGGCGTGCCAGTGTACCTAAAAATGTATAGTGTACCTAAGGACACTATACGCCAAAGAGTGCATGAGCATTTTTCTACTTGCGAACGGAAGGAACACTTTTAGGTTATAGAGCTGACAAGATACACTTCTTAGACGTTTCGACACAAAAGAGAGATGCATAATTTAAGACAGGTCAGAATCAAAGTATATTTCTAGATACTTAACAGAAGAGACATATTGAACAGGTTTGAAACAGCATGATATGCAACTGGAGTTGTGCAAAAATGAAGGAGGAAACAATGTGATTTTTTTTTTTCACGGGCTGCGGAAACATACCAGCTTTATTTTAGAAGCGTTTACACTTATTTTGTTATTTCTAAACCAATTCGTGACAGTAATGACATTTTTCTGCAGGTCCAGGATGGCATGTTTGATATCAGTATTGCAAGAAAAAAGCAGAGTGTCATCTGCACATTGCAATACGTTACACGTAACCACTTGAGAAAGGTCATTAACATATACATTAAATAAAAGAGAGGATAAAACGGAATTTTGTGGAACTCCAGAGTTAAGTGTGACCTTTGTGCTATATGAACTTCTCCAACAGACAGGAGTTGAAAACGTGCGCACAAAATATTTCTAAGTAAACGAGCAAAAGGACCCCTGAACCCAAGGTGAAATAGCTTATCTAATAAAATGTCATGGTTCACTGAATCAATGCTTTCGTAACATCAAAAAAAAGTGCACAGACAGAAAAGTGGTTGTCAAACGACGAATACAAAGAATCTAAAAACACGTCCAGTAGAGATGATGTGCCTCGACTAGAAACAAAGCCGCACTGTGAGGGTGATATGATATTGTACTTATTTAGAAAACTCATCATACAAAACAAAATGTTTTTCGAGGATTTTAGAAATACACGGCAGAGTCGAAACAAATTAATATGAGGAAAACTGATTACGCGGGCCGCCTTTATAGATTGGTACTACGATTACAGTTTTAAGGTCGTCTGGCATCAATCCCTGTTATATGATTTTGTGTATAAGAGATAAAAGCACATTCTCGAGTGACTTGAAATTATCACGGAGATCCCTCACAGATATGCCGCCAAGCCCTGCTGACTTATTTCGTTTTAGGCCAGATAAAATGGATCGTAGGTCGGTCTGCGATAACGTAGGAAGAAATGCAGAAGTTGCGGTTACATTCCCGCCGTTGGCGTACATTGCACCATCACTGTTGCTATCATAGATGGGAGTGGCAAAACTATTAGCATGTTAGCTCGCTCTTTCGCGAGCTACCATGCAACTCGCTAATTATAGACCAAGTTTTTTAGAGTTGATACAAGCTTTGAATATTTTCTCTGAAAAGTAGTTTCGTTCCGGAGATCTTGTGAGAGCATTTACCCTATTACGTGAGACCCTCCACCCTCAACCGTTCATTGCTGCTCTTTAGTTTTGATAGTGCCAAGTATATCATCATTCAGCCATACTAGCTCTGATCTTCATTTTTTAACCTGAACAGTTACAGTGCTGAGTTTTTTTAAAAGATTGTATAATCGCTACAAGTTTCACATATACTTCGGATGGCTCAACTTACCATTTAAAGATACCCAATCGTAGGACGAAACCAGGTTAAAAGTGATATGATTAATAATATCAATGCTTCTAGACTCTGGCTTAATCATTATCTCTTGTTTTAAGTGACGAGAACCGAGTGCAAATAAAGTAATGATCAGCTAACTTACGTGAGTTTACAAACAACTTCACTGATAAAGTATCAAGGACTCTCACATTAATGTGGTCAATGCACGACATGACTAACTTATCCCCAAGAAATTCAACTCTTGTGGGAGCAAGTATTGTGTTCTCAAATCCAGAGCCTGCGAGCAGATTCAAGTAGTCGCATACGAAAGGGGAATTATCTTTTATAGTGTCAGTATCACTATCACCATTCGTACACGCACATTTTACAGAAAATATTGAACTAAAGTTGTTTGTTAATTCATCTAAATTGCAATAACATCTTCAAAGGACGGCTTATATTTTTCCAGCAAGGATACCACAAACTCGGCCCTGCTAAGCTCAAAAGCCGAAGCCTCAGCAGGACTGAAGTAAACCGGTACCTCGGTGATCATCCAATCATCCCTTATCAAGATCCCAATTCCACCTCCTTTGCCCGAGGGAAAGTCATGGATAGATATTTGGAGGCCCAGTCTGCGTACCTTTCCAAAAACTTATTCGGGATTCTGTCAGGCTCGGGGCTCTTTTTTGTGTTGATATTAAGTAAAAGGTTCAAAACTCCTTCCCTGTTTATTTCTATATTTATTTCTATATCTCTTATAGGAGGGCTCTCTGAAAAGTCACCAAATCTGGGCAAGGTCTTATCGTCCTCAGTAAATACAAACGAAACGAAGGTGTTAAATTGTTCCGTGCGCTTTTGATCATTGCTTTCATCGCTAGTGCGACTAGTTGTCTGAGGGATTAATGTACCCTCAAAACTTATCTGGTGCCTCCGTGAGAAATCTTTGAAGTGTTACATTGTAAAATCTCTCTTTAGACTCCTTTACTGGCCGTTTTAATTCCTGACTTGTGCGGTGAATGGATGATTTATCTTCGATATTCGAACCATGTGAACGCAGTTTGATTTTTATTTGTGGATGTATTATTTCCGTGTTGGGGCTTTTGTTCCTAATCATTCTAGTACGCTTTGGAATCAACCACTCAAAGCATTGCTTAGTCATATATTAGTAAAAAAGTCCCATAGCGTGTCAGTACTGGCATTGGATTGGAAAAGAAATGTAAAGTCATCCAATGACTCTTTAAGATAATTCAGTACGCTGACATTGTCAGCAGCCCCGAAATTTAGAACCGTCTCTTGCGAGTGACTATGCATGATATTTGGGGTAACTTCCAAAGTATCATTTTATGATCCGAAGGGCCCTCGATAAATATGAATGAAGCGTTTCACATGACAAAAATCCAGAAACTGCAGGTAAAGAATGACACAAACGCTGAAAGGCCTCATTTGTGTTGTTTTCTATTTGCAGTCTTAGGGTTCTTTGTCATGTTCAATGTACACCAGCTGATTTGCACACTTACTTTCAGAAGCTTTTACATGCCTCTTTTCTACATGGTCGACCGTGAGGTGGGATAGCAACTGTGTGAGCTCGCTCGTCGGGAATCTTCTTCAACCTCCCTCTCGTTTGTACCACTGTGCAGAAAGAAGGGGTGGACTCCGAAATCAACGTCTCTTTGAGCAAGGACACCGAGATCAGAGCGGCCATTTTGGAAGGTTGTCGTCCAAGTCCTTCCAAATCTCAGGTAGGCACCTGCCGCCGTATCGAGCTAGGACCACTTGAGCTGCGCGATCCGTGGGGACCTTGGGAGTTGTTCTTTGCTCTTAATATGACACCCTTTCGGAAGTTGTCAACTTTGCCGAGGGACAAGACTACCTACGAGGATAGTGTCTAGAAGTCCGGTTAAGCTTGGTCCTTCCATGCGAAAGGAGACGTGGCATTCTTTTCATGTCTGGGATATGTACTAAATACAATTTGAAGAAAGAAGCCTCTAACCTCCAAAAAAACAAAATTTTCTTGCAACAAATTTAATTTTATTTTTGCTGATAATACGCTCTAAATTTCTTGAATTTGCATAGAACCCATGTAGTTAAGAAAAACATTGTAAAAAAAAAAAAACTGTTGCTTATTATACACAAATTTAGATGGCTGCTTAATTACTTAATAATATTTCTTTATCTTACATTAAAATACAAATAGTTTATGAGATTTCTTTATTTCTTTTAGTCAACTTGGATTTGGGTGCTAGCTACAATACTTTTTTGCTTTTTTTTCCTAAGACTAATAATTGAATTTCTTGTACTAAATTTTCACAGGCTCGTTTTGTTTTGTCTCGATTAAATGCCAAAATCTCCAGTTTATGCAGAAATGACCATATTGAGAGCCACAAAAAGCAATGTGGGCAGCAGTGCCCGGAACTTTCTAAATAGCCAAAAGCTCAATTCACTTTTTTTGTTTAAATCAGAAAATTACTTTTTGTCGTTGTCGAAAAATTGCTTTTTAAAGGTGAGCCTCTCCGACCATGCCTCCAGGCGTCCGCTTCGTACGGGTAGTGATGTTACAGATAGGAATGGTGAAAATAAATTACCAAACGAAAACACGATACTGTACAACTTCTAAACAACAGGGAAAGCATGATTACTAACACTTGAAGAAAAGAGAGTATGGTCAATGATTGGCCTAAGGGATTCAGGTAAATGATTCCAGGCATTTAAAACTCTATGAATGAGATGTGAAAAATTTGTTGTGGCAAAATGGGGTGCCTACTTTGTGACAGTGATTAAGACGTGTGGATACAAATGATGGTGAAGTTATTAGCTCACTAGACCATTTTTTGTCGAAAAGGCAAATAGTAGATATTTTGTGGCAATGTACAAAGTTAGTTAGATGCGACGCGTTTTACAGCTGAGCTGTTAAGGGCTGGTTTTCCCTGTTTCGTGTCTGTCGCCAAATAAATGTCGACACATAACTGGACAACTGCCGCCATATATGCGCGGCGGTGGCAATCTTTCCAGCCTTTCCACTCTGGGTTTCACCAGAGTGAAAAGGCTGAATTCCTCAAGGCGTTGTCCTAGAAGTCGTCCTCGAGTCGTCCTTTAGGTCATCTTAGACGTTGTCTTCGAGATTGTCCTAGAAGTTGCCCTTCAGGTCATCCTGGACGTCGTCCTTGTGGTCATCCTATACTTCGTCCCTGAGGTCGTCCTAGGCGTCATCTTTGAGGTTGTCCTAGTTGTCGTCCCTGAGGCCTTCCTAGGCGCCATGCTCTAGGCGTCGTCCTCTAGGTCGTCTTAGAAGTCATCCTTGAGGTCATTTTAGACGTCGTCCTTGAGGCCGTCCATGGGGTCGTCCTTGAGGTCGTTCCACCTTAGTACAGCTTCGCTGGTCTTCCTTCCGCACCAGAGTGGAAAGGCTGAAAGTTCTTCTTATTGGTATTTTGGTAGTGGTGGAATTATAATTAGCCAATGTGATAGGGTAAGAATATAGGTTGCAACTTTGTTGTACAATCAGCACCACAGTTAAATTCTGGGGACAGTTCCACCAGTTTGTGACATGTGATTTCTTTACATAGTGTGTAAAAGTATGCAAACTTTCCTTGGAAACCCAACCCACGTAAAAGGGGAACTTATTCTGCCTGGAAAGGGAAATGTTGGGGAATTAATATACCTGGGGACATTAGTTTGGGACTAGAATTTAAAGGACAACTCTGCTCAATTTTGAAGATTTCATGATAAAGAGTGATTTCGCATTAAAAAAAATTGTAGAGCCCTTCCACTTCACGTGAAGATGGAGGACGACGTCTAGGGCAATGCCTAAACGACAACCTCAAGGATGACGCCTAGAGGACGACCTAAAAGACGACTTCTAGGACTACCTTGAAGGCAACGTCTAGGACGACCTCAAGGACGACGCCTAGGACGACCTCAAGGACGACTTCTAGGATGACCTCGAGGATGACAACAAGGACGACCTTGAGGACGACACCTGGAAGACGACGCCTAGGACAACCTCTCCGACGACCTCTCAGACGACTTTTAGGACAACCTCGAGGATGATGCCTAGAAATGATAAGGGATCAGGACCTCACTATCTAATAATGCCAAGGAAAGCTGACTCATGCTGGTTGCTCCCTTTTTTATTTTTATTTATTCATACTTTCCACGACTAATGGGGAGTTTTCTATCAACGTCCGCGGACACATTTTTTCCCAGATCCTAGCGTATAACAGCGTCGCCGTAAAAGCACTAGTTAAAGGCACTACGGTACAGTAATACCTCGTTAACTCAAACACGGCTATCTCGAAATAGTGGTTAACTCTTAAAATTTCCTTGACATGGAATGAGCTCCCATAGGCACAATGCATTTTTTCCTTGCTTATCTCGAAAGGTCTTCAGGATGAACTTCAGATATCTCGAAATCTCGTCACCGAAAATTGCGAAAGAAAACCACAATAAACAACAAAAACTGGCTAAAAAAATATGTGTGCCAAAAAAAAAAAGTTTGCAGGCCAAAAAAAAAAAAAAAGCGCAGCGCAAGAAAAAAAAGGAAAAAGATAACCGTGCGGGTTATCTTAGACGTGCGCCTCAAAAACATTGTCTTAATTTTTTTCCTCTTCCCCACTTGGATAAGCCAATGGCAAGCCGGAATGCCTGGCGTTCGGTGCCCCTCTCCCTCGATCGTTTTGTGCCGCTCTGTCTTTCGTTTTCTCTTTGCTTCTGGATCCTTCTGTTTCTCTTCCCTTCCCGGTCTGGTCGTCATCTCCTCAGTCTCGTGTTTCGGAGGTGTCTCGTTCGTTTCGAGAGTGTTGCTGGTCTTTATTGCTTGTCCCTCCAATTTTTTCCCGGGTGTTTCGATCGTCTCGGGGCGCCAAACGAGCAAGGGTCAAGTGTTCAATTCGGTCATCGGTTGTGAGTTCTCCGATGTTGGCACGTGACTTGATTGACTGTGAACATGGCGCACCCCAAACAGATTCTATTTTCTCTTTCTTTAATAGAACCTGTGCTGCTGCCGGGATTCTTAGAAGATTTATTTAGCACATTGCGCGGTCATAGGTAAAAATTTCGGTACTTTTGCTTATCTTGAAATTCCGCTTATCTCAAATTTTTTCACGGTTTTTATGACCTCGAGTTAACGAGGTATTGCTGTATTTGCTTCGCGAAAAATAGAAATTGAATTTGAAACTTCGGCTTCGTCCGGAAACATTGGCTTCAGGCCGCCAAGAATGTGGCTATTGCGTAATACGAGATGTCACGTGATCCTCTGCGCAACGACGAGCGGAATTGGGGCGAGAGTGTGTCACGCGCAGGTGTTGTCTGCACCACACCCTTCACCACGATTTGGTGTCTACGAAATTTGACAACGTTGGTACAACTGCACATGTTGTCTGTAGTCTGAATGAAACTCCGAGAGACACTAATCACAAATGGTGAGACGATGGCGGTTGATGCGGGAGAGGGCATTAACTGAGGGACCTTGGCAAGATGGCCGGATGGCTCCCAAGATGCGCCTGTGCAGGCGTGTCACGCCAATCACGCGGACACCGCTAAGCGCCGAGTCTATGTACCTTTATTAACATTGTATTGTAAAAGTGTAAAATTACACCTTTACAATGTTAATAAAGGTACATACTATGCAAGACGACCCTAATAACAAAAGTTACCTATCGTCAGATCCTAAAATGAAGAGATAAATGGTGAAAAACATGGGGTGGGCTATCTTTGGGGATGCCACAGCGAAACTTTATCAAATATTAATGATAAGCGCTGGGGCACCCGCTACGAACCACGTGACGCAGGAACTGATATCGCTGACACGGCAAAGCACGTGTCACGATGCGATAAACACGCGGGAATCCGCTACAAACTCGGAAACGGATACCTCAAATCACGAAAGCAGCAGATTCGCATTTCACGGTGCAATATACACGCGGGAACAACCAGCGTGTTACGGGAGCCGTTATCGCGCGCAGATCGTAGACAAAAACGCAGGAACCCCCTATGAACTCTCTTCTCGGACCCATCGATACCGCCGATCGCGCCGTTGATGCGCGATTCCCGACAGACGTCGCTTGACGTCCAACGGAAATTGGGGGGTGGGCGATGTTTCGGAATTTTTATGTTACAGATATTTAGCCAGAAAAATGGGATGGACAATCTTTCGGGGGAGGGCGCCCTTACAAGATTTTACGGTATGTTATTTTCCAACAAAGAGCCAAAATGCGCGCACGTTTTTCCATAGGATAGCACAGGAGCACCGCAAAAGTAGACTGGTTCCTGTGTGCTTCAATTAACATCCTGAAAGTTGCATAGACATTAGCGCCAGTTGAACCTCTAGCATACATTATAATAACTCTATGGACGGGACATGGCTCGAGACCACCTCTCAGTAAGTTTTTTGGTGTTCAATACAGTCGAGCCCGGTTATATCACACCCGAGTATTTAGAATTATTGTTTATATCAAACACTCCAAACATGCCCTTGAAAATCGCATGTAATACTATAGGAGCGTTGTTTTTCTGTATCCAACTCCCATGACGGGGACACTCGATATAGCCAACAAAGTACCGCCGGCCCTCGCTTCTCCTGTGGTCGGATTGCGCTGGTGGCGAGCACATGAGCACACAGCTCGCGTTGCAAGGTTGGCAGACCGCCAAGCCAGCATACGCGCACGGGGATACGCAACCAAAGAGCAGTTGTAAAAAAAAAGAGCAACCGTAAAAAAAAGTGGAGGATGGCAAAAGCAAGGGGAAGGGCACGCACACGCGTAGGGAGGGAAGTAAGTGCCCGCTGGGCTGTTGGAACGGTAGCATGCACTTTTTCCCCGAACACCGCTGTAGTAGCGAGACTCCTTCACCCCAAAATAAAATAAGCAAGAAAAAAAAAAAAGTTTTCGTCAAGATGAGTGTGTTGACAACAAGAGTCCAGCAATCCCACTTTGAACGCCTTATCTTTGTTTACCTTTTGCTTTGCCCGTTTTTTTCTTTTTTTGCCTTTTTTTTTCTGCCTGACTTCAGTGAGGTTTTTTTTCTGTTACTTGCTTAACTTTATTCTATGAATCGAGAGCTTTGTTTTTATACATCTCGCTTTTTTCATTTTTTTATTGTTTAAAATTATTTTCATGTTTTGTTTGCCGGTGCTGTGTGGAGGTCGTGGCCAGGCATAAACAATCTCAAACACCGTCGCGTAAACTCGGCGTTGTTTGTGATTTTTACCAACTAAGCTCTACTTCCTTAACGGCCTTATTTGGTAAGGTCCCGTTTGTCGTGGCCTTCGGTATTAGCAGAGACATGCGGAAATTTCAACTGGAGCTTAAGTTAACATATTTTTGTATATCAAATTATCAATATATCTAACTATTTTAATATCCCCTTTGAATTCAGTATATCCAAGTTCGACCGTATTGCTTTCCAGAATTGGAACATTCATATTACCCTCCGAAAGTTGTGTAAAACTTTATGGAGGTACTTATCTGTCATTCTAAATTGCATGCTTGATTTCATGGTTTTCGTTCTGAGAAGGTCTGTTTGCAGTTCTGCATGCTCTAGCAGACGCTCAGATGAAGGCTGCAGCAAACTCTCATATACACTCCGTGCGGGAACTATAGGGGGCGCTTTGAAAAACGCGCGCAGCACCGCTAGCGGAGGAGCTGGCGTTCGACTGCGAGGCGCGTTCAGCAGCCTGCGGCGCCTTTTCGCATGCCAAGCTGTGGCGGCGGAAGCGCGCACGTACGAAACTTCTGCTTTTTGAGCCGATACGTTGAGGATGACGTTGCATGAGTGCTGGGGCAGAAGGGCATTTAGCTGTTCTCTACTTCTTACATATTGAGTTTGAGTCGTTATTAGGGGTAATTTCTCTAGTTGCGGCCGAAAAAGGAGTTGGAGCAATTTTCCGAAAAGCAAGACGGCCGCCACCATATTTGGTGGCGGCCGTCTTGGACTGCTGGAACAGCAGTCTTAGGACTGCTGGAACGGTGATATCGGAGGCGAGTGAGATGTTCACTAACTTTGTGCACGAAGTGTGCCAAGTTTCATTAAGACAGCAGGTGTGAAAGTTATGTTTCTAACGAATAAAAAATAAAGCTGTACGGGATATCCAATATTGGACCCAAAATGTTGTGTTATAGCGGGCTGTGCAAATTGTGGATTTGGGCACACAGGTGCTTGGACTTGACAGTAACATGACACAGCACTTATTATACAAACAAAGGTGGCATAGAAAAACCAGGTGGAAATTTGGTTTCAACGGCGTAAGTGAATGGGAAACGGTTTTGACCGTGAAAGGGCTGTCAAGAGAATACCCTTCGTCGTGGGGGATGAAGACTTTACAGGTAGGAAGGGACTAGTGCACTGTACTACTAATTAAACAACTTTACGAAAGGTGGTTCTAAAGCCGAGAAAACAAAGTTGTCGGCCTACACACGGTTTGGCCGCCAAGGGCTTTTGCGGTCAGCTGTTGTGTAATAAACCTGTTGTGCGTGGTGCTGATTTTCGGCGCACAGGTACTTCGACATGACCGTAACTTGGCACAACACTTATTATAACAAAAACAGTTGGCGTAGCGAAACCAGGTGGACATTTAGTTTGGGCGGCGTAACTAAATGGGAAATGGCTTTGACTGTCAAAGGCTGTCAGAGAATACCACTCACCGTGGGAGGTGCACACTTTACAGGTAGGAAGGGACTCGTGGACGGTACTTCCAGTTCGAACCACTTTGCGATAGGTTGCTCTAAAGCCGAGAAAAAAAAATGTTGTCTACAGAACTTGGGGTGTCAGCGTTTCCACATCCAAAACAAGGCTGATCAAGAAAGAAAGCACACCACATAAACTTCCATACTCAAGCGTCGATCCAGAGATTCCGAGTTTCATTGTTGTTTTCTTTAGATTTATATTTGTCACTTCTTTTTTTTTTTTTACCGTTCGAATCTTTCTTCATGAAGTATAGATTGCGTGCCACCTTTCCGGAAATATCATCGACACGTACGATGGGGACGAAACTTCTTTGGAGGGCATTCCTCCAACGAAATTGGCACTGCATACCCGCGAGTGTGGGATGGCATTTCAGTTCGTCCCATCGGCGCTGACACATGTAGGCGTTACTGGTACGAAAACAAACGCAGAGCGCAAAGCGGCAGTGTAGAATATGTCCGCCGTGTCGACACAGTGGCAGACATGATCGGGAGACCAAATTTCTCGCGTCGTACGGCACAGGTCCATCGTGTTCGCTGTCCCACACAACATCGGCGAGGTGAAAAACTGGGAAACTTTGTCCCCCCGAGATACGACGCATAACTATTGAAGCACTTAATGATGCAGCACAGGCAGCACTTCATGCTGTGCACCCGGCGCAACCGCACCGCTCCAACTTTAATGCGTACCAATGTACGCGGCGTGGTTTCGGTTTCGTTTTCTCTGGGGTTCTCACTGCCTACCTTCAGTACCGGCCGCGCGGCGGCGCGCCAGTCGCGTCGCACGGAGTGTATACTTGAAAACCTTGACTCAAAGGGACTGACCTAAAAGTTAATGAATTAGTTCACTGCATGTACACTCCTCGGCATATTGTCTGTTCGGTGATCAGCAAGTTTTATGTTGTAAATCTTTTCAACTTGGCCGTGGTCTGCTCTAAATATATTATTGAAAATGCGATTGTCGTTCGAGCACTCTTGAAAATCAGCAAACCCGACTTCCAACTCTCTGTTCAAATCAGGTACTGTCTTGCAGGTACACTCTTTGTGAAATGGTGTGCTTGTTTCTTCTACAAAGACTCTTCACAAAAGGAAATGAGGGAGATATTCGTCGTTGATAGAGACTCCTTATTTTGCAAGAGCTCGAGCTTCGGCTTGAAAATATTCACTTTTGAGAGTGTCCTCGCCTTGGCTGTTCAAGTCAGACACCCTGGGTGAGGATCAGCGAGATCCTGAAAAGACTTCTTTTCACAGAAAAAAGCAGCAACATTTTTATGAACCTCTGGAGAGCTGCTAAACTCTCGCTTATTTTGTCAATCGAACTCGTACGTGCAACTGAACCACAGTGAGACACCGTGTGAGACAAAAATGGTTGAAATTCATGATGGATCAAACTGTGATTTGCATCACCTTGATGCACAACAATTGCTGATAGATGACACACAAGGAACGTGAAAAGGATACTCACCCCAGGCATGCCGTTTTGGAGTTATTAGTCCGATTTGCAAAACCATGTCTGTATGGAGGGGGCTTCTCTGGTAGCATGCCAGAGGCGGTTTGGTATATCTTTGCGGGTCACCAGTTGCCGAGCCCCGCTTTAGAGTATAACGACAAATCCGCCATATTGGTGCACATGATCAACGTTGCTGCTTGTCACCAGCTTTTTGCCGACGTGCCTGACGGTAGATGCAAGAAGTGTTTTTTGTCATCCTGCTCACTAAAAGAGTTTGCAACGAAGCAAAGCAGTATCGCGGTGATCTTCAAACACTGTACGTACTGCTCAAGAAGGTGCATCTGAGAACGATAACTTGCAAACGGCGCCTGTGTGGCTCGAGGCAGCAAACACGTGCGCCGCTGGCACATAAACAAATGTCATGTGACGCAAACGGATGAATGACTATCGTGGCGGCATCGGACGACGAGGGAAAAGAATACCAATACTCTGAGCCTAGTTTTCAATAGTCAGTGTACCCTCGACCTGGCAGTGCGATACAAGGTGATGAAAAGGAGGCGTTTGATTTGCCTGGTGAGCGCGTTGCACCACCGCACATTCAGCTTAAGGATGAACTGAGTATGGTGACTAGCGTGACCTCGGAGTGTTGCGCAGGGCGAGCTGGGCGCACGTCCCGAGCGTTCCGCTGACCGCAAGGAGGCGATCCTGGCGGACCCCTGCATGGCCACCTACCTGGACGTCTCTGTGCTGCGCTGTCTCTTCATCTCCCAGTGGCTGGAGGAGGGTGTTCACTGGGCACTCCAGTTCCTTCTCAACCGGTGCGCTAGCTCTCGCTCACGCCTCTGTCGGGCTGCACACTCGTCTCCCGAACGGGGGATGCGGAAGCCGAGACCGGCGTCTCCGATTCAATGCGTACCATTTATAGGGCCAGTTCCAAGCGTTTTCGTGCCTGTGGGATGTAGCCTCGATGCAGGAGGGAGGGCATGAGACTCGGTGGAAGGGACACTTCTTGCTAAATTTTGCAGCAACGACCATCATGCTGTCGACGTTACATAACATTGTAACTTAATGTGACTGTGAGGTTGCATGAAAGTGTAATGTTACATGACGTCGTGACATTACGTTACACTTGCATCACGATGGAGTGTGAGGCTGCAATGTCACATGGCCGTATGACGTAAGGTCACGTGACGTCATGCTTTCCCTAGAGTCACGTGACACCATGATATAACTAACATTTTAAGGTAATGAGACATGACATCTCATGGTACAGTGGAACCTTGATTATGCATCCACGGTTTATGCGACATCTCGCATTTTATGACGAATTTGCCCGGTCATGACGAACTCCCCATAGAAATAATGTATTAAAAGTTTGGTTTGGTTTACATGACGCGTGATTCTACACATCCCGCGTCAGACAATGTTCCAGTAAGAAACACGCTATGAATTTGATGCCTGCGTGAGAAGGGAGGGTGGCAGCCCGGCAATGCGGAAGAGTTCTGCGCGCTGTTTCAGAGGGTCCAAAAACACGCCACCGGCAAACCGAGACAGCTGCAGTGCCGGGAGGGACTAGGAGACAGCGCTTTCTCTTCTCCTCCCCGGGTTGTGAAATGTCTCGGTGTTTTCACATTGCTTCTGTGCTCTCTTCATCCCATCATTCTCTCGTCTCTGATTTACTCTCACTCTCCTCTGCGCACCACTTTCTCCAACTTCCTGCGTTTCCCAGGATTGAGCACGCTTCTGCTGGTTTCTGCCGTTCTCGTTTTCAGAAAGCGTGGCAGTTTGTTCGTACCCCCGATGGCCTTGCTTTCGGAAAGCGTGACAGCTTTTTTCCAAGCTTGCAGCCTTCGAAAGAAAGCTGATGTCGCGCGACCGAAAGAAAGTCCAACAGGCGATTACTGATCTCTTTTGAGGTGAGGATGAAGTTACTACTCGTACCTTTACCACACAATTTTACGGTTTCATTTCAGTTTGTTTTTACAGTTTTTGCTTTGTCAAAGTACAGCAGATTATTAGCTTAGACATCATTTAAAACCTCCGCTTGTCCTTTTTCGCGCAAGGCCGATCACTGTATCCAGAATTATTGTTTTTTCGGATGATATGACTCACGGATTATACGACGCTTTCGCGCGGTCCCACAAAAGTCGTATAATCGGGGTTCCACTGTATCGTGACATTACAGAAAACATGGTAAATGCTATGCTTTTTTTTCGTATTATTGCAGCCTCGAAAACAAACACTTGGTCGCACATGCAGCGAAGGCCCGGTGTAAGGCAAGGAGCGTGTACTGGAGGCAGAGCTTCTGCTGGGTTCTTAACTCATCACCGACTATTGGCCTTCTTGCTCAGTTCCTGCATTGCAAATGCCTTTGAAGAGTGAAAATTATGGCAGACAATTTTCTCGAATATTTGTTTTTTGGTTTTGTAAGTCTGGCAATATGTTTTGGTATTAGTTATTAGAAACATTATTAGAAGCAGTTGAAAAACATTTAATTGTTTCTTCTGATCCCAGAGTAGACATCAGCTGAGATAAATAGCAGAAATAAAATTACCTTCAGTCGAGATAAAATGGTTTTCAACCAAGATAAATGGCCTTCAGGGTTAAAAGGCTGTTCCCTGAGATAAATGGCCAAGATAAAATGTCCTTTAGCTGAGGTAAAAGGCTTTTAAGACGAAATAAATGGCAGATATAAAATTCCCTCAGCCGATAAAAGGCCTTCTTCCGAAACAAACGACTGAGGTAAAATGGCCTTCAGCCGAGATAAAAGGCTTTTAGTCAAGATGAAAGGCCTTCAGCTAAGATAAATGGCAGGAATCCTTCAGCCAAGATAAAATACTGAAATAAAAGCCTTCAGACGACATAAATGGCTGAGATAGAAGGCCCTCAGCAGGGATAAATGGCCATCATGAAATGACTTCACCCGAGATAAAAGGCCTTCAGCCAAGATAAAATGGCCTTCGGTCAAGATAAATGACCTTCTGCAAAGATAGAATGGCCTTCATCAAAGATACATGACCAAAATAAATTGTCCTGTAGCCATGATAAAATGTCCACACGAGATAAGAGGTCTTGTTCCAACATAAAATGGACTTCAGCTGAGGTAACTGGCCAAGAGAAAATGGTCTTAGCCACGATAAATGGCTTCATCCGAGATAAATGGCGGAGGTAAATTGTCCCCGAGATGCGGCACGTCCTTGTATACTCCTGCGTTCCGCTGGACCAAGCCCTTTCTTTTGCGGCGTGCAGACTGCGTGCCGTGGCAGAAGAGCAGTCCCGGGAGGTGCGTCCGCGCAGACGCAGCAGCTCGCTGCCCGTGGCCCGGGCGGAGGCGCCCCCCCCGCCCTCCCCCAAACAACCCCCGCAGCCGTCTCCCGTCGCGGCGCGGCCCCTGCCGCCCCTGGGTCCCCCCTGCGGACCCCCAAGCCACCACGCCAGCATGCAGGAGCTGAGGCAGCAACCCCTTCCCCACCGCGACATGCCCTCCCCCGACCTGCGCCGGTGAGCCGACACCTCCCAGTTCTGAGGGTTCTCGGACGGGAATTTTAAGATAGTTTTTTTCACGATGCAAACTCAATCTACGCTCCCCGAGGGTCTTAAAAAAAGCAGACTTACAATCATGCTACACGATGCAAACTCAATCTATGCTCTCCGAGTGTCTTAAAAAAAACAGCATTACAATCATGCGTGACCATTTTTTCGTTTTAAAAACACAACCACACATCCCGACGCGCCTCTTTTCTGAGGCCCGTCTCAGAAAAGGGGCCACGCATGATTTCGTTTTTGGGATTTCTGAGATGATCGGGGGCATTAATTCAGTTTCCGCTATAAAAAAAGACATACTGAATATCATATCCACTTTAGTGCTCCTTTTAAGAAACCAGGGGATCACCAGAACACCCTTGTAGGCTCCCCCTAGCCTCCATATTTCCTCGACTGTCCTCGCACCTAGTAAAGTGTCTTTTCAGTTTATACGCTATCTTGACAGATCTGAGCCACCCATATATGCATAACTACGAACCACACACTCCCTAGGATGTGCATCATTGCCTACAAGGTCTGCAGGCTCCTGCATCGCCTCATCTCATCAGTGCCGAGAACGGGAAGGGTTGCTCGGCTGCCATTTACATTGAAGAGTTTGAGAACCTCCATCCTAAACAACAGAGCTATAGTGCTGAATTGTCAGCCTCTCTCAGAGAATGCCAATGCTGGGCACAGATTGGGCACAAGTGCAGCGTCAATGTTCAGCTAGGACTTGCGTCACTGTTGATAGAACACAACTCTCGACTGAACACCAATGCAGCACTCCAGTCTGCGCTCTACGTTGGCCTTTTCTTGGGGACGCAGAAAATTAGCACTAAGGTTCCGTCATCTAGGACGTGTTGGGTGAGGGCTCCCTCTCCTGCCGGTATTACGGTTTTTGGGACGCGTCTCCGATTGGTGCGTTTAGCGTCCCATGCCGTCCACGCATCGAAAGCGGCCTGAAGCGGCAGCAAATTGCGTCACGGGAACGGGAACGTAGGACGTTGCCATCCCGGTGGTCGATCGCAGAAAGTTCTGACGAAAAGTAGGAGCGAATGGAAGCGTCGCCACTGTGGTCGCTGCACCCTTACCGCTTTAGCAGATGGTAGTCCCGTGACAACAATCTCGTGACGCCAACCTTCCGAATTTAGCAGACGGTAGTCCCGTGACACCATTCCTGTGATCACATCATATCAGTTGCTTCGTTGTGTGTAATGTGACACTGATGTCGCACAATGTCACCAAACACCACAATGTCATGTGATGTCCTGATGTCACAGTGTAATATGACACTATGGCATCAAGTTATATTGAAACTCGACACCGTGACGTCAAGTTAAGTGGTCACGTGACACTGTGACATTTTATTGCGTGCTCATGCGACATTGTGACATGGTATGTGGTCACGGTGCAGTGTGACGTTAAAGGGACAATGATGGCAATTTTATTTAATTGTTTTAAATGGTGTTTTTAGGCTTTTTGGGAACCTAGCACGCTGCCCAGTTTTTTGTAGACATTTGTGACGCGTATTTCTGTGCCTACAAAAGAACTGAAGATTCCCCAGAAAATAAAGCGCATAAATAGACAAAATCCATGGATAACACGTGACATTATTCATTTAAAACGCAAAATAAAGCGGCGACGCAAGACAAAACCTGTCAGCAAAAGTGACGTTGCCGGCCTCTCAAATGAATTAAAAGAAAAAATTAAGGAATCTCGGGAAAAGTATTTCGGCGTCACCTTGCCGGAGTTTATGAAGACAGCGCCACAGAAATTTTGGAAATATCTTGCGCCCTCAAAACAGAACATAGATTGCATTGTAGAGAACGGCGTTGTCATCTCGGATCATATCGGAATGGCCCAGAGGTACAATGAATACTTCAGTTCTGTTTTTATCGATTCATGCAATTGTCCTGTGGATCTGGAGGACGACGAAGGCGTACTTGCGTCTATGCCAGACATTGATATTTCAGAGGCCGGTGTCCTTTCAATTTTGTTAAATATTAACACAAAGAAAACCGCTGGACCAGACAAGATTCCTAATGAATTTTTGAAGCGATATGCGGAATGGGTCGCCAAATACTTAACAATCATATTCAAAGCGTCACTCAGTCAACACAGCGTTCCTTCGGATTGGCTTTGTGCAAAGGTTGTTCCAGTCCACAAATCCGGTGACAAACAAAATGTAGCCAATTATCGTCCCATTTCATTGACATGCACGAGCTGCAAACTTTTTGAACACATCATTTCTAAAAGTCTTTATGCTTTTTTCGAATCAAATAACATTTTTCACAAGAGCCAACATGGATTCCGGCGCCGTCTGTCAACAGTAACACAATTACTAGGTGCATTTGGTGACTTTTCCTGCTCTTCGAACGAGAGAGGCCAAATCGACGCGGTTTGTTTGGATTTATCGAAGGCTTTCGACCGAGTTTCACATAATGGACTGATACAAAAACTATTAAAATACGGCGTTAATAAGTCGGTAATTGCGTGGATACAGGCTTACTTGTCTAACAGAACACAGTTTGTGACTGTCAGTGGAGCAGTGTCGACCACCCGCAGGGTTACATCGGGGGTCCCACAGGGATCGGTGCTGGGTCCAGTCTTGTTTTTGTGTTACATAAACGACATCGTGAATGATCTCAGCCCCAACGTTACAGCTAGGATGTTTGCGGACGACCTCTTGCTCTATGCTAGAATACGCAACCCCATGGATCAAGAAAACTTAAACACGACTATCAACTCTGTTAAGAAATGGTGTGAAGAATGGGGTATGAAAATTAATCCAGATAAAACTGTATCCGCCAGAATCACTAGCAAAAAAGCGAACATCCTACCCTACACATATCGGGTTGGAAACGATCCCATAGCTCTAGTTGATCACTTTAAGTACTTAGGAGTTACGATATCAACCGACCTCACATGGAATCGCCACATCGACAATGTGTGCAGTACGGCTCGCAAAAAGTTGGGATTTTTGAAGCGAAACCTAGGCAAAACCACAAGTCAGGTGAAATTGACTGCATACACAACATTTATACGGCCCAGCTTAGAATATGCCTGCGCGGTGTGGGATCCGTACCGACACAATCGAATCGAAAAATTGGAAAAAATACAAAGACAGGCTGCTCGCTTCATCCTCTCGAGATACCGCCGAATGGACTCCGTTACTAACATGCTCGAACAGCTCAGTCTCCAACCTCTTCAGACCCGCCGAGAGATAGCAAGGCTAAAGGTTATTTATATGTTTTCAAAGGACTTACTAAATATGGACACATCTGATTTTTTACAACCCCGTATTACTAGACCAGTAAGGGGGGTACACAATAGGGCTATGCAAGTTCCGCGAATTAATAATGACACATACAAGTATTAATTTTTTGTTAGAACAGTTGAAAGGTGGAACAAGCTTCCCGAAAGTGTTGTGAATTGTGACTCATTAGCATTATTCGAGAAATGTTTACTTGAATTATATTAGACTCTCCATTTCTGTTTATGAATGTGTAAAAGAAGTGTTCTTTTCTTTGTTAGATTCATTGATAGCTTGTGTAGCGTGATGTGTACCAGTGCGGTTTTGCAAATCATATGAAATATAAGATGTGTTAAGAAATGTATATAACATAGCATGAATTAAAACTGACGTTCCACTCCTGTAAAGCGCCCAGAAGGGCGCACAGTATTTACAAATAAATAAATAAATAAAGAAACCGAAACTGAACTATCTCCATTCTCATTTCTGGGCCTCTGAAAACGTAGGTGACGTAGGGAGTGACACCAAGCGTGAATAGTCGGTATCGGTAGTATTTAAGAGATCGAGACTGGTTACCGCGGTAGCTGATGCACCGCGGTGGCGCGATCGTTTCGTCGGATCTTTCTACATGGACGACAATGCCGCTCTTGCGAGCAAGTTTGGTTCGGGCTTCCGTTCAGTGACCTAACACCAACGGAACGGGAGTATGTGTCTGGCGTTCTTCGTTACCACCCGAGGCCGACGGTGACCGCCCAGCCGACAACAAGCGGCCCGCTGGCTTTGAGCAGCAAAGCTGTGAGCAACATTCGCACGGGTGAGACAAGAGCGGCGCGTTGCTGAAGGACAGGCCCTGTCCCTGTCCAACAGGGGCGCGGGGGAAATGCCGAGGGGAAAGCGGCAGCGACCCAGGAACCGGTTCCTCCACAGGGGACGCTCCCCAAGAAGGAGAAAGTAAACAGCATGATTTTTGTTTTCACCAGAGTCGGATGTCCACTCATTTCGTCGTCAAAGAACAAGAACGATGACTGGTACATCTTCAGTCGAGCGTTTGAACTGCCATCTACGGCGCATAAATTTGGCATGACTACCACTTTGCAGAATCCTTCGAGTACCGTGCTCCCAAAGTAAACACGACATTGACATCTCCAGCGTGCTCTGCTCTGTGTTTTTTTTCATTTATTTCGTTTGAGCATATTGGCTTGTTGTCCGTTTCGCGTCCAGCGTAGCAACGAAAAAAAATAAGTACAGTAGAACCTCGTTGATACGTTTTTCAGGGGACCGCGGAAAAAAAGCGTATGAACCGGGAAAGCGCAGCAACCGATAACGCACTTAAAGGCACTCTATATAAGATAGAAAGCAGCTCTTATGCAATGGTTTATTTTATGCACTTACCGAACTCTTTTGGACTCAGACACGTTCACAAAAACGCGTAATATCCACCTGCCGCTTCGAATTAATGGTATGCAGTAAAAGTCGTTCCTCCAGAAGCCGCAGTCCCCTCTCACTCTCCGCGCAGTCATGAACGTTTACGTAGCGGCGCAAGGTGTCCAACGCAGCGATCGCGTCCGCAAACGTAAGTGCAGCGTCATCGTTCGTTTTTTGTTCGTCTTCTTCATCACTTTCTTCGTTGTCGGCAGTAGTGAGGTCGGCCACAATGTCCGCTATGCTCGATATCCGAACAATCAGCAATCTCTTGCGCCTTCTCTCGCAGAATGCCTCCGTCGATGTTGACACAAGATGCCCGGGCTTGTTTGAACCATACCAACAGGGCCTCCTCTAACTTTGCGTGTTTTGCCCCCCGAGCCTGTTTAAAGCCTGGTTGGTAGAAAGGAGCCTTCGCCTCGATCTCCTTTCGTCTCGCGACGATACTGTTTAAAGTTGACGGCGCGAGTCCAAGCTCTCTTGCGACCTCAGACCTCTTCCGGCTGGGATTTCGATCCACCGTGCGAAGTATGTCAAACTTCTCTTTAAAAGAGTGCTTTTCTCTTTCGGGATGTCATGGCCGTCGTCAACGCGCACGCACTCAGAAACGGCACTGTTCACGCAGTCGAGCCAGTCGAGCTGCCGAGCGGAACAGAAACTGGAAGTGCAGCTGGTGCAGCAGTTGCGGCGTGCGTGCGGCGCGTAAACAACTCGCGCCGGAGAGAGAGGACAGATGAAAAGAAAGAGCAAGAGAGAACGAGCGTTTTCGCAGAGCTCAGCAAAGCCCAGTGAGGAGACCGGGAAAGAGGGGAAAAGGAGTAAAGGGAAGGGGGGCGCCCGCGTGCCGCGCGGCCGCGCGATCCGCGCTGCGTGGTTCGGCTCTGCTTCGCTTCGCTTCAAGCCGGCGTGGCACCTTGGCGCACGGCGCGCCGAGGCGCCGCGATTCCGGCACTTTTGGACGTAAGAACCGGGAAGGCAAACGTAACGGGCAGGAAACTAATACATGTATCTCTATGGAAGTAAAACGGGACCGGCGTTTTTGAACGCAACGGACAGGAAAACGTATCAACCAAGAACGTATCAACGAGGTTCTACTGTATGCTGTTTTATTTACGGTTTAGTAATCAAAACCGGTCCGATTTATTCTTTTCATGGTTATTAAAGCGAAAATTAGAAAAACTGCGAACTGCAAACCAAAACGTGACCGGGGGCATGTCTCTCGTTCCAACCAATCGTTGACGCGTCTCTTGTGATGTTGCGCTTCTTGGCCCCGCATTGGTCACGTGAGCTTTGCTTCTTCTGGCCTCTCCCGCAACTCTCGGGGCGTCGCCCCAGTCGATCCCAGTATGATTATTACTGCGACTGTTTAATTGATTTGCGCGGCACACAAGCGCCGGTTTTGGCTGAAATTAGGGCAACGTGGTCTGAGACGTGCCTGGAACCCAGTTCATTCGTCAAAAAAATATCCGAAATTGCCTTCATTGTCTGTTTGAGCTACACGGTCATGTGACACTGATGCAGCCGGAAAGCCTCTATAACAGTTGTCACTGTAAAAAATACTTTGTTGTCCTCGTTGCGTGGCAGCTTCCAAACGATTCACGCAACTTTTGCCGCTTTTTGGCGGGAGTTCACAACATCCCTGGCCACCCCCGTCTCAGGCACCGGCGTCTGAACCGGGGAGACCTGCGCGCCTTCGTGGAGGAAAGGCTGCGCCTCTCGGAGCGCATCCTGGACCGCCTGGGACGCGACGACGACGACGTGGCGCTGCACCGACCCGCCCCGGCCCCCGACGCCCCGCACGAGGGCCCCGCACTTGCCGCAGCCGAGCCGCAGCCTCTACCGCCCGAGGCGGCGCCACCGCCACCGCCGCCGCCGTCGACCTTTGAGCGCGTGGGCCGCGTGCCCGCGCCTCCCTTGCAGCGCCCCAAGTCCGCACTGGGCCTGCTCAGGGACATGGGGGGGGCCGACTGACGCATTCCCCAGGGGCGAGATGGTCCGAGGCAAGAGCCTGCCCAGCATCCACATCGAGGAGCCCGCCCCCCCGGGGCCCGAGGAGGAGGCGGCCCCTTCCGCGGCACTCCCCGCACCCAAGGGGGGCGCGGAGGCGGCGCGCAAGCTGCCGGCCGTGCACACACACAGCGTGCCCAACCCCATCATCACAGTCACGGAGCACTCGCCCGTCGCCTCCATCCAGTTTTTCATCAACCAGGTGGGGGGCTCCTCCCTCCGGCTGTGGGGCCGGGACTACGGATTCCCGGTTGGCAGGTTCGAATCCTGGCCAGGGGGCCCACAATCTGATGGAGGCTATTGCTGACAAGGCTTCGTGTGACCGAGATTTTGGTTGCTCATATAAAGATCCCTGGGTGGTCCAAATTAATCCTCAGTCCTCTGCCGGGCTGTGCCAGATGCCCTTCGTCGGTTTGACACGTAAAACCCGCAAACTTGGCTTCCTGGGAAAGTGGCACCAAGCTGGCCGTTTGGTTGCCATTTTGATCCACAGAATGAGCAGTTTCTCTCTAACCTCTCCATTCTTGGTGAGCCGATCCGAATTTGCGGTGACAATTGAGTTGCTTTATAAAGACAATTCTTGCATACCGAAATTTTGGTATCCACACACAGGTGAACGAATTCGAGAATGTTTTTGCAGCCCCACCACGTGTGGTTGTGCAAAAGCTTACAAGAATTGTTTTTATAAAGACATTCCTTCTATACCAAGATTTTGTTATCCACGCATTGGTGAAAGAAGAGAATGTCTTCGCCTTGCCACCACGTGTGGCATCAATGCTTTGGCGGCTTTAAAAATATATTTTTTTTTTGTCTCGAAATACGGAAGAAAAGTAATACAGTTCTAAGAGTTCCGTGGAAATAAGCATGATTGATAAGTTGATTGCACACACAGTGCCAAAGACGCATGTGATGATGAGGAATGCTCTCAGTACGATGGTGCTTCAGTGCGAACTTGGTGCAACTGGTTTCAAAGACTTGAAGGGGCCGAAACGGCGATTGCCATGGCACCAGATACCGATTAGCCAATTATCTTACGAGGTTTTGGTCTTCCGTATGTCAGCATCTATGTGTTCGGCTAGCAGGCAGGGAAAGCAATGGCACCGCTTTCCCAGGATCCGATGACTTTAGTTTATGAACAGTGTGTTTGGCATTCTATACCGCCCAATTCTCCCCTTTCGACAGGACTCTGCAGAGAGCCCCAAGGAAGAGACTCCGCCCAGTGCGGTGTTTGTGCCCCCCTGCCACCAACTGTCCATCACGCGCAGCCAGACGGACTCGAACATCTTGTACAGCATCGACGACTTCAACGAGGCCTCTGGGTCCACCCACTACATCACTCTGGACGGACGCATCAACCTCTTCGTCGTCCTCAAGGTACTGCAACAACCTTTGACCGCTTTTCCTGAAAATGGGTAAATGTCCATAGTTTGACCCGGAAAGTATGTTCGTTGTTATGGTATCTTAAGCTTCATCTACCCAGACTTCTTGAAAACATATTTCAAATACCACTCTCTTGAAATTGGAACTACCAGGCAGAGGTTAAAGAAGAAGACGAGAACGAAATTGGACCATGTCTTTATGTGGTGCTCATCGTGACATCGGACAGCAATTTAAATGTATCCTTAACCCTATGGGCAAAGTTGGGAGACGCAGAATACGCAGTGTGTTTTGAAGTCATCCCACCATTAGGGGAAAAAGTTTTTAGTGGCAACATAAATACATATATCACCACTATTGCCATGCTAATCAAAGCTGCTTTGCTAGCATAGGGGATAGGGGTTATGATGTCATGGCCAACTGGCCATGTTTCATAGTTTTCATTACAACATTTTTTGACGCTCAGACTAAAACAAACGTGGTGATCACTGATAACGCAACAGTGTGATAACACGGTCAGGATGACAACCCACAAACTGACGCGGAGCGGCCAATGGGAGCCTCGTCGATGCGCGCCAGCCAATGGGATCGAAGTGCAAAAGGTGCCGTTGGCTAGCTTTACGCGTGGTTTCATTAAGGTGCCGTTTTGGATGGTTTCAAAGCTGATGACGTTGGACATATGCCATTAGACCAGTTAATGCTTTCGCATTAAAAATGTTTTGGGGTGAAATATTGATGGTCACCGATTTTGATAAAACTTCCCCCTTGCATTAAATACACCCTTAGTATGTCTACTAAATATCTAATCGAAATAATCCTTCTTTTTCGAGAAGCTTACGCATACACTTCCGTATCACTGGCCGCCGCTCTACTGGCAACAACGAGCAGGCGCGCTCATGACGTCAGATGTATTCGAAAGCAGACGACGATCCCTCCTCCACGGCGTTGTGTGTCGTAGTGGCAGTGAGCATCTTTGGTGTTGCGGGTTGTGTCCGGTTTAGGCTATTTGCGGCATGCGACGGAAAATGGGGAGAATTGGTGACGTGCCGTAGGGTGCAACAACACCATCAAGAAATGCGGCAGAGCGACATCTCGTCGGTTTACGACCGAGAGGTCTCTGGGACAGAAATGGGCTTAAGCATTTCGAAGCGAGCGCTGGCTCCTAGCGTTCACATCGTGCTAGAAGACAGTGTGCACCGTGCTAGCAGACAAAACCTTCCGTACCATTCTGCTTCTGAAGCAGCATCTGGACTTACGTTGGTGGGTCGCAAATGCAGCCACTATGGGTGGTCCCCTCAGAGGCGATGTCGGTATATCGAAGGTGAATGATGAATTGTCCGAAATTTTGTGCAGAAAGTCTTATGACATTTGCTGGACATTGCTTGACTCAAAGAAGCTTGATGAATCAGAGTCCGTTATTTCCCGCGGACAATCGCAACGGCCATTTGACTGCTTCTGACGCTGGGCGAAACAGGCCCAAGCTGCGCACGTGCTGATGCTTATACAGCATCTGATGTCGCAACAAGATGGTGGACCAGTAATCATATTTTTACTATTAAAAATCAAAAAAGTTTGGGGAAAATATATTTGCTGATTTGGGCTCAGTTTCTTGCATTCGTTCAGAAAATATGCTTAGTTTAAAACATTTAAATTGATGCCGGAGCTCCCCTTTAACAAAATAGCATCATTGTGTAAAGAAGAGTGAATCAAAAAATTATATCGTAGCGTATACAAGGTGCAGCTTAACAAAATTAGTTTGTAGTGTAAATATGAGTGTGTCTTAACAAATCGCATTACAAAAGAAACAAGGGCGCATCTCAAGGTATTGCATCACAATGTAAGCAGAAGCATGTCGTAACAAGTTGCATCGTACCGTAAACCAGAGTGCGTCATAACAGATTGCACCATAGCGCAACCAAGAACAAGGACAAGAAGAGAAGAAAAGAAGAAACTGAAATGGGGGGGCCTCCTCACAGGCCTCGTCGTCGTGGCCGCCACCTGGAGGGAAATGGGTGCGAGGCTGCGGATACGGGCACTAGTTGAACCGTCTGTCTCCGGCCACCTTCGACGCAGGCGGTGCACGCGGTGACGCTGCGGGAGACGAGCTGCTCCCTGCGGGTGTGCGGGGCCCTCGTGTCCATCCTGGAGCTGCTCTTGGGAATGGACGTGCTACCCCGGCGGAGGAGCGACGACCCCTGGGAGGACCTGCTGGCACCACGCCCGGACGCTGACCGACGCTCCGACCAGCTCTCCACCCACAACCTGTTCGTCGACAGCATCGTCAGGTGACCTCACGGCTGCTGCCCTTTGCTGGGGTTCCCTTTGTTTGGAGTTCATTGATTAATTTAGACTTCATTTCAACCCTCAACCCCCCCCCCTTTTTTTTTAAATAACTTTTTTGTTGACCTTAGCAAGGTGACGCAAGCTACCGCCCGTTGTAAAGGGTTAAGCCGTTACCATCTATCCATCCATTCATCTTTTTACTTGATGCTTCTCACTTCTGTCTATAACAGTAGAGGATGCTCTTTTCCCACTGCAATCAATTGTCTTATTTCATACCCCCCTTCCCCTTCCCCCATTGGCACGGGGTGTTAAGAATGGAACCTTCGGCGACCTTCTTCCGAGTTTCAACGCTGCGGAAACGAGTCAAGACGAGTCCGGGACCGTCGCCCGCTTGTCGGGGCCTGCGCGAAACGAGTCCCGACGAGTCCGGGACCGTCGCCTGCGTGATGGGGCCTGCGGCAACAAGTCTCAACGCGCCCGTGACGTTAGCGGGACGTGTGTGTGTGCGTGGTGGTTGGTGCGCTCGGGAAAGGGAGAGAGGCATGGCCTAACTGCAGAGAACTTTGGCTACGTCACACTGGACGGCGGTTTGCTGCATCGCACTGGCTGCCCTGGCTGGGAGTGAGGGAGAAACGGACCCTATATAAGGCGGAGCGTGAGGCTGCTCCGTTGTTCTCTCGGATTTGACGACTGTATCGCTACCATGTAATTAAACCCTTCGTTACGTTACCAAGTCTCCCACCTCCACTGAACCCCTGGGTTCCTCACTTCGGGGAATGGACGTCGTCACGAGCCAGGAAGCTTCCGGACGTGCGGCCTAAACCCCGCCTCAAACAACTGGTTGGCAGCAGTTGGGATCGGACCATGCGACATCGTGCTACATCTGTGGGTGAGCGTTTGGACTTTGCTTTGAGATTCGCCAGGCTTCAGATTATGGGTAATTAATTTTGAACTGCTGGGAATCCTTAGTGTTTGACTCGTGCGCTAGGTTTTTGTACAACCTCGCGACAAGTTTTAGAACAAAGCCAAAGCTAAAAAGCAGCGATCATGGATCTAATGAGGTTACTGAGAACAGATTTACTCTGTTTGTGTGAAGAATTGGGTGTGGAGGTGGAGCAAAAGATGAAGAAATCTGAGATCAGTAAAGCAATTTCAGAGAGCGCGGAAGCAGAGGATATTAAAATTGCGTGGGAATTACTTCAGAACGCTAAAAGTGAAGCTGCAGCGAGAGAGGAACGAGCGCAAGCTGCAGCGAGAGAGGAACGAGCGCAAGCTGCAGCGAAAGAGGAACGAGAACAGGAGCAGGCTGTAGCAAGAGAGGAACGAGCGCAGGCTGCAGCGAGAGAGGAACGAGCGCAGGCTGCAGCGGCAGAGGAACGAGCGCTAAAAAGGCTAGAGCTCGAAATTGAACAACAGCGATTAAACTCGCAGAACAGTAGAGTTGGGGCTCCTGTACGAGTAAGTGAGGCCGAGTCGTATCAAATGAAGAAGCTCCTGCAGCCGTTTAAAGTTGGGGAAGACGTGGGTCTATTCTTAGTTAACTTTGAGAGGACATGTGAGAAGTTGAGCTTCGCCCCAGAAACGTGGCCGCAACGGCTTTTGACTTTGTTGCCCTGTGAGGCTGCAGAGGTTGTCGCGCGCCTTAGTACTAAAGACGCGGACGACTACGACAAGGTGAAGTCGAGCCTTTTGAAGCGGTATCGCCTTTCTGCCGAGGCATTCCGTCAAAGGTTTAGAAACGCATCCAAAAAGAGCAGCGAGGGCTACTCGGAATTCGCGTACGGGCTTAAAACCAACTTGATAGAATGGTTAAAGAGCGAGGAAGTGTACGAAAGTCGAGACAAGGTTGTCGAGTGTGTGTGCCTTGAACAGTTCTTTCGAAGCATTCCGCAGTCAGTCAAGCTCTGGGTGCAGGATAGGGTAGGAGTCGACTCTGTCGAAAGGGCCGCTGAGCTAGCCGAAGGGTACGCAACGCGTAGAAAGCTGAGCGGAGAGGAAAGCGAACCCGGCCGGAGCGATCAGCGCAAGCCCTTCCAACAGGGAAACGGCTCGCGAGAAAAAAGGCCCGAGAAGCCAGAAACAGGACAAAAGGTCCCAGAAAAGAGCGGAGATCCCTCGAGCGGAGACGAGGCACGGAAAAGCCAAAAAGGGCAGTTCGAGGCAAGGAAGCCGTTCCTGTGCTACAACTGTCAGGAGCCGGGACACACAGCGGCCAGGTGTAACAAACTGCGGGTTGTGTTCTCGTACGTGAGCGGTAGTAACAGGGACCTGGAGCTTCTTCGTCCCTATCTTCACGAGCTCCAGGTAAACGGAAAGCCGTGCAGGGTGCTTCGTGACAGTGCAGCGACGATGGACGTTGTTCATCCGTCGTATGTGACGACATCCGACTTTACTGGAAAGGTAGTTTGGATCAAGCAGCCGCTCGAGAAGCACAGTGTCTGTCTGCCTATGGCGAGAGTAAGGATAACTGGCCCGTTCGGAGAGCTAGTGACAGAGGCGGCTGTCTCGCAAACAGTCCCGTTGGAGTATCCCTATTTGTTTTCTAACAGGTCAGATTTCTTGCTGCGCGAAAGAGGTCAACAGCTGGGAGAAGGACTGGTTCAGCCGTTGACGAGGTCCAAATCGCGTCAGCTTGCCACTTTGTTAAAGAGTGAGCCAGAGCCAAAGGCAGCTGACTGGGAGCAAGCACTCCCAGAGTTGGAGACAGAGAAACGGGATGAAGGGGACCGGGTTGTAGAACAGCCCGACCTCGTAGCACTAGAAAGCGTACGCCGTTCCAACGCGCCGGCGGAAAAGGCGGAGGAAGACGGGATCATTAAAGGATCTCTCGTAGCTCCGGCGTCACGTAACTTTGATCGTCTGTTGCGAGTAGACAGAGTGTCTCTGACAGTCGAGCAGAAGAGCGACCCTAGTGTGTCAGGGTTTCGCGGTACTGCTCAGGAGATTGCTAGGACCAATGTGACGGGGCATGAAAAAGGCGGATTGTTTTATCGGCGCTACAAGGACCGCATTTTCACGTCTAGAAATCACGTGAAAATCGATCACTATGACTTCAGCGTAAGAAAGAGGAAAGGCAAATTTAGTGGCAATGCCGATGGGTTGAGCAGATTTTTCTGATATCACCAAAAAAAGTAGGGATGATCTCAGAGGTTTTCGTCATCCACGGGAATGAGGATCAAAGTGCGACACTTCGTTAAAGCCCCAAAATGACCTCACAAATTGCGAAGTTTTGTCTTTTTGTATTTTGTTCATAGTGACCTCTTTGGAAAAATGAGTTTTGCTTTGGCGACAGCGGGTCTCGATACCCGAAATTGCCCTAAGGTTTTAAATTGCATTGTTTTGGCAATCCGTAATCCGGGTAATCCGTAATCCAGTCTGGCGGGTCTCTGGCAGATTCCGAGCGTTTGACTGCGGAGTGGCGTGGTGTTGTGGGGGACGTTTCCGCTGATGCCTCCGTTGTGAGAGGTTTGGGAGTTTGCTTAGTGCTTGCAGCGTCTTCTCAAGGCCTACTCCAAGCGCACCTCTTCAGGCCAGCGATAGTACCACCGGCCATTCGAGGTTTCCCTGGCCCCGGAGGGGCTGTTAAGAATGGAACCTTCGGCGACCTTCTTCCGAGTTTCAACGCTGCGGAAACGAGTCAAGACGAGTCCGGGACCGTCGCCCGCTTGTCGGGGCCTGCGCGAAACGAGTCCCGACGAGTCCGGGACTGTCGCCTGCGTGATGGGGCCTGCGGCAACAAGTCTCAACGCGCCCGTGACGTTAGCGGGACGTGTGTGTGTGCGTGGTGGTTGGTGCGCTCGGGAAAGGGAGAGAGGCATGGCCTAACTGCGGAGAACTTTGGCTACGTCACACTGGACAACGGGTTGCTGCATCGCACTGGCTGCCCTGGCTGGGAGTGAGGGAGAAACGGACCCTATATAAGGCGGAGCGTGAGGCTGCTCCGTTGTTCTCTCGGATTTGACGACTGTATCGCTACCATGTAATTAAACCCTTCGTTACGTTACCAAATCTCCCACCTCCACTGAACCCCTGGGTTCCTCACTTCGGGGAATGGACGTCGTCACGAGCCAGGAAGCTTCCGGACGTGCGGCCTAAACCCCGCCTCGAACGGGGGTCCCCCATCACTTCGGCGGGTCCCCAGGGTGTCCCCGACATATCTATGCTTGAGAACCGCTGCTCTAGGGCATTACAGGGGGAGAGGGCACGTCTATTCTCACACTGAGGAAAAGCGCACGCACTCTATTTTCTGGATTATGCTAGTCCACACCCGGTGTGTAGTTTGCAAAGAAAAATTTTGGTTGAAAAGGAAAGGCTTTTCCTTAGACTCTCTGTACCTGATGCATAGCTTGCACATAAGAACACTCTCATACACAGCACACCTCAAAAAATACTTGCGTTATTAGCGCACAAACAAGCTTGTAGCATACAGAAACCATCATTATCATAATCTGTCGATCACGAAATCCGTCATGTCTTGTCATAATGAGCCACCTTGAAAAGAAAATCCTTGTATAGTCCGCACCTGCAAATAGTCTTCATCGCATCAATTTTCAACATTTAGACATGTATAGTCCTCAAACAAGTCCAGAAAATACTACTATACTACCCCCTGATCCCAGAAACGCATCTGTCTGCCCTTCTCTTCATCTGTTTGTCCATTTGTCCAGGCATTTCCCGCTAAATTTAGCAGAGAAATTGACGTCACATGATGTCAGGATATCGCACGACACAACGACTTGATACTGTGACATCAGGTTCCCGCCAGATTTAATGGGAAAATTGATGTCACGTGACCGAACGTCATGTGATGTCGCATTGTCAAGTCCCGGTGTCATTTGACACCATAACGTAATGTGACGCCGCATTGTCAAGCCCTGGTGTCATTTGACATCATAACGTGATGTGATGTCACGTTGCAAAGTACTGGTGTCATGTGACATCACATTGTAAAGTCCTGGTGTCATGTGACACTATAACGTTGTGACGTCACATTGTCAAGTCCTGGTGTCATGTGACGTCACAGTGACGTCGTCGTAACAGTAACCTGCGGTCACATTGTTTCTCCACTGTTAAGTTTAGCAGGTAATTTAGTAAACATGTTCTTCACTTGCTGAAATGACTGTTTAATGTTTCTTAAGAAGTTTAAAACAATTTCTCCTTAAATACTTCATTTCATGCGTTGTAGAACTTTGAAAGTAAAGGTCACTGATCACTTTTTAAAGCGATAGCTTTAACAAACTTTAAGGGGCTTGTGTCACAGAAAAGCTGGCGTCGGTAGGATGGGAAAATCCTGATTGGTCGATAGGGTCACGACATCGCAGCCAAATGACCTCGCACGGGAATTTCAAACAACTAGCAACGCTCACGTGAAACGTGACGTCAGATGTGGAATGAAAGTGATTAAAACATGACATGTAATGCAAACTAAAGGTCTCCGCATGTCTCAAATGATTTCACCTTATAAAGTAATTTATTTGCTTCGAAGAAAAAATTAGAAGAATTTTAGGTGGAGGTGGAATTAACCCACGACCCATTGGTTGCGAGCCAGACACACTACCTACTAGGCCATGCAGACACGCTTGCATGACTTTGGAACGAGCGGGGTTTTATATGTTTAGTTACCGCTCTCCACTCTTAAAGGCGCAAAGCTTAAGCGTCCTTCTGTAGTTTTTAATACAGAATCGCATTGTAATGGAAGCTAAGTGAGAATTTGTATACTTCCGTGGCTTGCATGCCACATGACGTGACTGTGACGTCACGGCGTCACGTTACTCGCATTGTAAAGTTGTGTCTCGTTGCATCACTGTGTCAGCAATGTTATTGAATCTAATAACCTTGGGTGTCGAGACGTGTAACGCGATGTCACGTCATGTGACCATGTCGTGTAACATGGGATTACTTAAAGTCATGACGCCGCATGGCACTGCCATGTGACGAGACATCACAACTCAACAGCATGACATTGCAGAACACGTTGCATCATATGGTTAATCAAAGTATGCTAATAAAAAAAACGTCATGAAAACCAATTGTTTCTTATACATTGGAATTCTCTATACGACGGTTCTGTTGGTAGATTGAAATGCAGCAGCCAATTTTTGCTTTGAATTTGGGTGGGTTTTTTTGTGGTTTACTTTGTCCCACAGATTCCATGCTTTTTGGGGCCTGCTTTCAATGTCGGCAAGATGTCTGTTTATCGGGGCTTAAAATATAGGAAACAATACTCGGCAGTTGAATTCTCCAACCTCCAGATATGGCTCAGCCCTGTTTTTTGCGCATTTTGGTTGCCTGAAAAGAAAAATACATGAAAAGTCAGCCCCTACCTAGAAATCGCATTACTCGGGATTGGTGATTTCTGCAACGAGGTTAAAATGCTTCGACGAGTGTTGCTCCGGTAATGCAGAAGGCGATTGAATAGGCAAAGGTCGCCTTTTTGTAAATAATATGATACTTATGGCATAGTCTGGGTGGGGCAGCTGATGTAGAAATCAGCGAACGAGAGATTAAGTCAGACGTTTCTCCTCGGCTTCTTTCAAGCAGGGATTTGTGGGGGGGGTTGCACACGAAAAGCTACCGAACCTCTCCCTTTTCTACTGCCTTTAGCATTTCTTGGCACATTATGTAGTGTTCAGTTTGTTTCGAGCAGTGGTTCTCAACCACTGACTTTCTGGGGACCCCTTCTGGATAGGCGGAAGTGATAGAGGACCCCATCTAGCAGGGGGGGAGAAAGATATTCATAATGTTAGGTCCCATGCATTTCTGCTGCTTCAGAGCAACGGGGCATAGACGCAAACTATGAGGATCCTGACGGGAGTGTACTGCCGTTGACGCTTTGATATATACAACGAAGCAGGATAACATTGCTTCCAAGTTCTGCACCTAATTTTTTTCTAGCTTTAATTTGCACAAAAAACTGGTGTCGCGCATTGCTGAGAATAAAATAAAGTTGGCAAGCAGACGAGCAACTTCAACTCGTCGTGGCAAAAGGAACACGCCTAACCTATCGTCTGCTCTTCTTGCGCTCTCTTTCTTGCTCATTCTCTGGGGACCACCCCTGCTCCCGTCTTTACCCCCCCTGGGAGTATTGGATGATTGCAATGACAAAATGGTAAATGAAGAAAACCAAATGTGCGCAAGCTAACTTTGAAACGGAGAATAATCTACCGTACTCGTTCGATGCTCATGGTTTGGTCGTTTGGCTTTGTGGGGCAGCCAGCATCGATAAAAAAAGGAAGTTTTGTCGCTCAGCTTGACCGACGGTCTAAAGCTTCAGGGACCCTAAAAAGGCCCTCGGAAACCCAAGCGGTTCGCAGACCCCACTTGAACGCCACTGGTTAGAGTTTGCACACCTTTGACATTGCTGGCCTTGCTGCATCCTGGTGGTGTGCACCGAAGTGAAGGGACCCTCACGTCCCCCCGCAGGGTGATGAAGCACCTGGGCTGTCCCCACGGCTGCGGGGAGGGCCACCGGTCATCGAGCGCAGAGACGGTGCGTCGACAAGCCCAGGGTTGCCTGCTGCGCCTGCACAAAGCAGACGAGGCCCAGTTTCGCAGGTGGGTGCTCTGCTCCGCAGCTGGCTGGTACGGGGACCGGAACCCTTCTTGTGCGGCTCTCTTCCTTGCCAACCTCGTTTGAGTAACCTGTAGATCTTTTACTAAATTATTTGAACGCCAAAGTGCATGCTGCAACTGCAGTTATAAGTGTGTTCGTGCTGGCATCCGCAGCTCTAACTGTTCTAAAGCAAAAGCCTAAAACAAATAGCAGTTTGCATATGTGTTTGTCACCCCACCAGGATCTTAAACCACCTTTAAAGAAAGCTATTTTTCACACATGGCAGTTGCAATCTTCACATTATCAAATCTGTCTGGGAATTTGGGATAGGTGTTTAACGGGGAATATCGCATGGAGGTCCTCCTATGCTGGCTGAGAATAAGCAGTGGTGAAGACGTTATACTATGCTACCAAGTGGAGAACTTTTGATTATCTTACTTACACATTTTATGGCATTGTATGTCTTATCATCTACTACTGTCGAGACCGGTTATAAGAAAGTCAGTTATAATGAAATAGCGGCTACAGTGAAGCGATCACGATTTCCCACTCCCTTTTGCACTTCGTTAACTGAAGTCGGTTATAACGAAATAGCGGGTATATTGAAGTGATTTCGGGTTCCCGTTGACTTCGTTATAACCGGTCTCGACAGTACGTCGATCATCTACCGCCCCAACCCGCGTCGATAGCATACTGCGCACGGACGCAGGCATGTATGCACCAAACAAGAAAGTTGTGCAAGAGCCTCCTTGTGATTGACAAGGCGCCCAACTTGGCCTGACGCCAAAGTATTTGCCAATGCGATCGCCGGCTTTCTCGCTTGCTTGTTGCATCTGGTTGATTTTTCTATTTTCATGTAGACTTTCTTTTTTTTTGTAGACAAAGAGAACATCGCGGTTTTAGAAACGTGCTTTTGCAGAACAAACGTTCGCGCTGAATGCTGATGGATAGTGTTCATTGTGCGTATGGAAGAAATGGACTTTGCGATACTAAATGTTCTTTATTGAGTATTTCTTGCATAAAACAAAAACTAATTCCATTTAGCTTAATGGATCTCTTGTGCAGCCATGCTAGATATGTACAGAAAAATGAGCGTTTTTTTTTAGCTTTTCCTAAACTCCTTGCGCTTACCCACCGAGACATGGCCCACCCCTTTTTTATGAATTTCAGGCGGCAGGGGGGTGGACAATGACTCGGTATATTACAAACGTTATATACCTTTTTAGCACCGAATTGATAATATTTTTAGTATAATCCAAGTATGTTTAGCTTAGAGCACTGTAGCCTTCATTGCTGCTGTGCTACTGAACTCCTAATCATCATCATCGTGATCACGTGCATTCATCAACAACTTATTTTGATTATAAACTTTTTTATGCTGATATGGTAAGCATATGCAGTGCATGTACCTACTTTTCCCAGCGTTCTTCTCGGAGTTAGTAATTCAGCAAAAAATCTACCGTAAAGTACCGAGAGAATGCCCACCCCCGAGAGATTCCAATCCCATTTTTCTGGCTAAGTATCTGCAACATGAAAATTCTGAAACATCGCCCACCCCCCAATTACCGTTGGATGTCACGCAATGTTCGACGGAAATAGCATCAACCGCGCAATTTGCTGTACCGGCACGTCTAACAAGCGAGTTTATAGCGGGTTCCCGCGTTTTTGTCCGCGATCTGTGCACGCAATAGCGACTCCTGTAACATGCGAGTTGTTCCCATGTGTATGTTGCACCGTGAAATGCGAATCTGCTGCGTCCGCAATCTGTGGTATCCGTTCCCGTGACATAAAGTTTTTAGCAGATTCCTGTGTTTTCGTCCGCGATCTGCATGCGCGATCTCGATTCCACGCAAGTTGGTTGTGCGTGTATATTGCATCGTAAAATATGATTCTGCTGCGTTCGCGATCTGCTGTTTTTGTTCCCGTAACATACGAGTTTGTAGCGGATTCTTGCCTTTTGTCTGTGATCTGCGTGCACGATATCGGTTCCCGTGACAGACAAGTTTGTAGCGGGTTCCCGCGTGTTTATTTCACCATAAAACTTGCATCTGCTGCTTCTGCGATTTGCGGTATTTGTTCCCGTGAGATGCGAGTTCTCGGCCGATTTTCGCGGGTCCTTAGCACCGTGAAACGCGAATCTACTGCGTCTGCAACCTGCGGTATCCTCTTTCGTGACACAGGAGTTTGTAGCGAATTCCTACGTGTTTATCGCATCGTGAAATGCGAATTTGCGGTGTCCGCGATTTGCGGTATCAATTCCCGCATCACGTGTTTTGTAGCCGGTTTTTGATAAAGTTTTGCTGTGGCGTCCCCAAAGATAGCCCACCCCATATTTTTCACCATTTATCTGTTCATTTTGGGTGGGCGTTCTTTTGGAACTTTACGGTATTTGTTCAGGGATTCTGGAAATGTTTGGGGCAATGGACTTTGAATTTCGCTGTCACGTCTTTAATTCGGTAACACTTTAAGATACAGTTATGGCTTTGCTGTTATGGCATTCTTTGTGTGCAAGATACTTGTGGATATTATCTTGCTTGCAGGCGGCTCAGGCACTTTCCGAAAACAAATGTCTTGCATCGCCTCTTAAGTGATGGGGAACGAAAAGAAACAAAAAAACTTAAAAGTGCAGCATCAGCTATCAGGCTGCAAGTATTGTTTGCTTGGTTCAAATCAAATCTAATCAAACCAAATTTATTTGTTGTCGCATCATCTTACATGACAACAAGGGACTCAAACAAAAAGCTGCTGAGTAGCAGCTTGATGAAGGTCCCAGCTTCAGCGCATTCGTGACAGCAAAAAAAAGAAATACAAAAAAAATTTATTGCATTTCCACGTGGTGAATGGTGTTGATTGGGGCGAAGCTATGGTGGTGCTTGTCTGCATAGACGCTGAGCCGCAGCATGCCGAGCCTTTCGTTCGTTTTCATCCATGTCAGAAAGAGAATGTGTAATATGGAACGTGGTTATATACGCATTTGAGCATTTGACCACAGCGCCCTCTCGTCTATAAACGTTGAGCCAATGCATGCAAAGTTGAACGCGATTATATACGTATTTGACCGCAGCGCCCTCTCCTGTATAGACGTTGAGCGGCTACGTGCAACGTTTCATCCACGACATCCCCAGCTCTTGAGTTACTACCACATCTCAGAGCCCCCTACTCGTCCCGCAGTCGTGGCCGAGTGGTTAAGGCGATGGACTAGAAATCCATTGGGGTCTCCCCGCACAGGTTTGAATCCTGTCGACTGCGCAAACATTTTTTAAAATTTTTAAAAAATTTTTTGCCCTACACGAGCATGTGAGCACGTGAGCTCGCGAGCACGAGCACCGGCAAGATTGATGTGAGCACGGACGCCGGACGTACAAGGCTAGACCCTAAGGAGCTTTGCCCCTAACGTATAATATATTAATATTATACTAATATACGAATATTAGATCTAATGAACAATTTAAGCGTAGAAAATACCCGAAGACACCAGACATTTGAACACGAAAATATAGCGTATCAGATAACAGATAACACACCAAAATTACACAACAAAAACAGCAGTAATCAAAAGTCACAGAGACATTATAAAATTTAGTAATCCTTTATGTGACGGTGTTTCTAAATCTAAACACTTTCTAGACAAACTATTTAGTATGGTGGACAAATTTAAATGAAATGTCTGATGAATGTAGTTAGTATGCGATGGACGAATTATCCGGGGTTGATTATGTCTTAAAGGGACAATGAAGACGATTTTATTTAATTTTTTTAAATGGTGTTTTTATGCTTCTTGGGAACATAGCATGCTGCCCAATTCTTTGTAGCCATTTGTGACGCGTATTTCTGTGCCTACGAAAGAAGTAAAGAAACCGAAACTGAGCAATCTCCATTCTCGTTCCTGGGCCTCCAAAAACGGAGGTGACGTCAAGTGTGAATAGTCGGTATCGGTAGTATTTAGGAGATCGAGATTCTGGTTACCGCGGTGGGTTATAGCAGCGCGGTGGTGTGGTGGCGCGGTCGTTTTGTCGAATCTGTCAACATGGACGGCAATGCCGCTCTCGCGAGCGAGTTCGAGCTTCCGTTCAGTAGCCCAACACAAACGGAACGGGAGTACGTGTGTGGCGACCTCCGCCGTCACCCGAGGGAGATCGCCCAGCCGGTAACGAGCGGCCCGCATGCCGAAGTGCCCATAGTTGCTCGTTGGCCGTTTCGCGTCCAGCGTAGCAAAGAAAAAAACATTTATGCTGCTTTATTTACGGTTTAGTAATCCTTTCCGGTCCGATTTATGCTTTTCATGGTTACTCAAGCGGAAATTAGAACAGTATTCCTAAAAACGGAGAACCAAAACGTGACCAAGGGCGCGTTTCTCGTTTTGACCAATCGCTGAGTCGTCTCTTGTGACGTCGCGCTTCTTGGCTTCGCATCGGTCATGTGAGCTCTGCTTCTCCTGGCTTCTCCCGCAACTCTCGGGGCGTCGCTCCAGTCGATTCCGGTACGATTATTACCGCGACTGTTTAATTGATTTGCACGGCACACAAGCGCCGGTTTCGGCTGAAATTTGGGCAACGTGGCCTGAGACGTGCTTGGAACCCAGTTCAATCGCCAAAAAGATGTCCGAAATTGCCTTCATTGTCCCTTTAAAGGACTTATGTAAAGGAAAAAACATTTTTTTTAGGCAGCTTAGATGGAAAAAGGATGTCATAAAACGATTTTACAACAAAGAAAAAAAATGTTTAGAGCTATATTTACGGCGCTATACAAATTTGTAGTTGGCGCTCGCGGGAGCCGCCGCTAATCACGTGGTAGGCCCGCGTGCCGCCGCGCTGCGTCGCCGCCGCACGCTGAGCGTTGTGCGAACGCCGGTTCAACGCGTTTCTCCACGCCGCCGTCGCCGCCGCCGCACAAGTTCGTCTGCTTCGGGGCGCCGCCGCCGTCGTCTGACCGGCGCACAGGTCTATCACGTCTGCTTGTGCTTTTTCAGGAGTTTCGTTTGGGCTCTAAAAGTTACCTATTA